TTACGTAAAATATTTGATAATTTTAATTAATCAAAAGTTTTTTTTTATTATTTACGAACAGCGACCTCTGTTGTACACTCACGTTCTTAATTTTTAGTTACCCGGCGCATCCACTCATAAACAAAATCAATATTCAGGATTCAGCTGAAACAATATTTTAAAAAGGTATCTACTGTATTTCATGAGCTGAAACTATATTATATTTGACTTATTCAAATTTTCAGAACAATTAATATTCGATATTTAGTACATTTCATGCACTAAAATTATGAAAATAATATTATTAACTATTGTTTCATAGTTAATTATTTGAATTTTCAGCTAAATGACTTTCAGTCGAAGCATCAGTGTATGTTTGCAGCAAAACATTGCTTAATTTAAATTGTCAATATTTAAATAACTATCTACTATATTTTATAAACATAAAACTATGTAAATGTTATTAATATGGTAAAACTTTACTTAATTTAAGATAATTTAAGTTTTCAGCTAAATTACTGAAAATCTTAAAGGGTTGATTGAGAAGAAATTCGCAAAGGCAGAAATTGCTTGTATATAAAAATGTCCATTGAAATCGATTCTTCTCAAGCACTTAACATCCACAGTATTGCACCAGCTCAAATTATATCCACAAGTAAATAGAATTTATAAATATTTCACACCGTTTAAATATTCCTCCCTCCAAAATCCAAATGTATTTCAGTTTTCAGTTACAAGCAACTCAAATATTGATTGATTCATATTTTTTTTATGAATTCTGCTGTATCAATGCAAATCAATTATTTATAAATACATGATGATGGAAAAACTATGCTAAAATAATAAATTAACATTTTTTTTTATTTTCAAGTCGCCCTACCCACGATTGCGTGGGCGCCGATTTGAATCCTGGTCAAGCCAAGGGTCTGGCTTACGGGTGAGCCCTCTCGGTGCTTGCAGCAATAGGGCAATCGTTCATCACAGATGGACAGTCAAATAAGTGGGGTTCAGCATATGGACCTTTAGCCAAGTGGATGGACAATGACAGAATTAAGGATAGCAGCAGATTCACAGTAAAAGGAAATAGTGGAATCGCAGAACATCAATATACTACTAAAGTTAACCTACAAGACAATAGCCAACCTACAAATTAAAAAACGTCATAATGGTAACTGTCCACCGGGAAAGATTACCTACCTAATGTCAACAGCGATCTTAAATTTAGTCAATGTTCACATTGATGAACAGTTTGTGAATAAAATTACACAACATAAAAAAAAAATAATAATTATTATTATTATATTCATGGAATAATAGTTACATAAACAAAAGATACTAAAAAATTAAATGAACTTAAGGGTTCCATTTTTTTTCCAATTTCTACAGCTCGTAGCAGGCGACTCCCCGAAAGCACGAAGATGCTAAAAGGCTCGTTGGAAAGGTGAGGTATTCAGCTTTCAATTGAGTTATCGGTGATGTAATTATCTTAAAGGGTTGTCGAGAAATTCACGAAAGACTGAAAATAAATCGCAAAAATCGTCTATTCTCTGTTACGTAACTTTTGTTTCATCAAAAAGGTGCGTAAGGGTGGCGCCCATCTTACGCAATCATGAAAGACAACAAAAGTTTATTGGTTTTCAAGTTATTAATGAAAATCCATTTTTTTTTTCAACAAACAGCGATTTTGAAGAAAATCCTATTCACTTTTTTTTCAACTTCTGTAGCTCTTAGCAAGCGACTGCTCTACAACACAAAGATACCAATAGGCTCGTTGGAAAGGTGAGGTATACGGCTTTAAATTGAGTGGACGATCATGTAATTATCTTAAGGGGATATCGAAAAAAAATGCAAAAATCGAGTTAACTTTGTGAGGCAATAGGCGCAAACTGATTTGGTGGCCCAATATTGACCCTACTTAGAAAATCATAACGTTTTTGTTTTGGCGATTTGTAGGCGCGCGCCTTGGGCGCCTAACGCAATTTTTACCATGTAAGTGGTATAAAATGTCAGGGAAATACGAATTGTAAAAATATTCTAATAAAAATATTCTGTTAAAAAATTCTGCAATATCGAATGCATTGGAAAATTGTGTAGGTGTATGATGTCTACGTAAACGGATTCAACATCAAAATATGCACGTATGCACGTACTTTCCGCTTTTGCCAATTAATTCTTTCGAATTCCCCTTTTATAAAATGGGAATTTATAAAGTAGAAACTCATTTTCCTATAAACGGAGTTTAATAAACTTCTGTTCTGTTTCTGACAATCCGTGTTTCTAAGAAATCTCCAGATGATATTAAAAATAATAAAACAATAATTCTGATGTAACTATTCTGATTTACTATGAATCACAAAAGATCAATTTTAACAATAACTATATACGACACAATTATGCGATTTCCGATTTCTTATAATTTACGGTCAAACTTTTAAAAACGTTTAACATTTTTATTTGTAACTATTGCCCATTTCATGTTTAAATTTGAATAAACAATTTTTAAACCTTGTCACAATTCTTCACAAATTATGATGTTTGAAATTCTAGTATTTTCTATTTCGATTTTTGAATACTTTCTCAAATTTTTAACCATAAATTTCAAAATGTACATTTTTTGGTAATTTAACAGTAATTTAGCCTTCATATTTCGATTATTTTTCTTAAGTTTTTAATAAAATTACATACGTATAATTCATGAAATTTCATTCTTAAATAAATGTTATTATATTTTAGCAAAAGGTGGAATTAGGATATTCATTAATGCGTATGCAATTGAGTGTTAATACCTTAGATAACCATTATGAACACGGATCGAAAACAATTAAATCAGTTATAACTGAATGTTGAAGATTAATGTTATTCAATATTTACTTTCATTATTTTTTAAAATTAGCTACAAATGCAAACGCAATGTTCGTGACAGACCGATGGACACGCGCGTACAAAATCACCGACATAGAATTCTAGTATTGGTACGTAATCGATATTGAATGTTGCCATCCCAATTAATTTTGCTCCTACGATAATGTGTTATTAAATGCTCCTAATAGACTGCATTTACTTATTATTATTATATACTCAATTCCACGATAAACAGCTATAAATAATGGATTTTCAATTATTATATATTTCACAAGAAATTACGTGCGAGCTACGACAAAATCAAAAACAAGGTTTTGTAACTTTATATAATTACATTTGCGTACATTTAATAATTATAATTATATACATTTAACATTAACATCGATTTTTTATTCTAATGAACTTTGAATTAAGCCAGAAGTTGATAGTAAATATGCACTATCAAATAGTTGTAACAGCTATTGAAGAAATTGAACCATACTTGAAAAGAAACCTCTTAGGTTTAGTTACGCAAGTACTAAGGGTAAATGTCCAAATGCAGTTATTCTTTTCGTTTGTAGAATGCGACGCATCCGGCGTAACCTTAGCCTAAATTCGCGGTATAAGTCTAATCAATATGCTTGAACGCCGAAAGGGAAGGCCGTTTTGGTGTCCCGCTTTTCACGGCTAATTAACCGAAAGTATTTAATCGCGAATTCATAAATTCACTTCGATTTATTCCGGAATATGCGTATTAGGGAACACAGAATACATAATCTGAATATTTTGCTAAGCGAAAACAATGTACCAATTTGGTAGACTGTTTTCAACCAGTAACTTCAACAATAAAATCTCATTAACTTTGCAACTGTGACAATATTTATAATAATATTCATTCATACAAAAAACATATGATATTGTATTACAAATTAATATATATAATCCGTTCCAAAATTTCCGGAGTTTTACTCGTATAGTGAAACATATTCAAAAATACACATAAAATGTATTGTAGTTTTGAAAATGATTCAGGACTTCTCCTCGTCACTCGTTATGCGAGTTTCTTTTTCTTTCAGTTTTTGTTCGTTAAGCGAAATGCTCGTTATGCGAGGTTCCACTGTACTTCTATGCAATTTAGATGAAGGCATGGACCATTTGCATTAAATCCTAAATGTCAATACATCTAATTTAAAAAACTGCTGCATAAATACGAAAGATAAATAGTAATGGATTCGGGATGTTTGTTCATTGCGTTAAGCTTATTTGACAAACTTCTGCAAGTTGTATCCTTATTAATCAAGAAACCAATTCTATCTAAATATTGGTCCATATAATTACATAATGAAGAAAGTATACTAAAAAAAATAGTCAAATTAAATTCTACAAAAATAAAAATAATTGAAATACCAATTTTTGTATCCTTTATCAATTAATATTATATATTTTTTTAATTAAATCAATTTTCCTTTTGTTTAACTTATTAGATGAATAAATGAAGTTGTTGTATAATGGACGTTAATGCATTAATTTTGAATCACCTATCATAACAGTTTCCGCGACGCGCGTTGCTTAACTTTCGTGAGCTTAAAATCTCAATTTGAAATACGTTTCTACTCATTAATAACAAAAATATATATATATTTTGCAACGCGGAATGAATTAATGGATGTTCTTCGTGCGAAGGTGCGAGAATGTCTATGTCATATAATAAAAGTCCTTATTGGCGTACATCAGGGCGCTAGTTTACTTTTACTGTTGCCTGGGATAAAATATTAAACATTAAAATATGTAAAAGGAAGATGGGCGACGAAGATGACGAGAAGTAGGAGGAGGTAAACATGTTTTTTTTTACCTCCTCCTCTTATGGAGTAGTCGAAAAATAAGGGATGTATGGGGTATTTCCGTGACGGTACATTTGGTTGCAATTAAACATCTAGGTGTCAGGTATCAGTCCATCAATAGTCCTGTCAATACGTTTACGTCAAAGGAATCGCGAATTAATGGTCGTGGTCGTTCTATGGTATGAGGAAACGCCATACAGCGATACTTGTTGCACCCTACGGGAAGGGTGTTTCTATCGATCTAAGTAGGGTCTGTGAAATATGCAACAAGTACGCAAGCGTGATGCTGGCCAAAATTTTCTAGCACCACGTATAAAGTCTTTAACGCACGCAGCCCTCGCCACTTGTGCTCCGTTCCTTCAGGCTGACATCACTACATCGCATCCCAAAGCCCTTCAGAGACGACGACTACGGTAACAGTTCCAATCGACTCCACAGCACTGAGTGCCCTCGACGAACTGGCGTGTTTTCAATGCAAGTACAAATTTTATTCTCATTTCTATCAATAACGCACCTAGTTCATTTCAAACTCATAATTAATATGCAAAAAGTACAAAAAAAAAATAACAACAACTGCAATCATTTACATATTCTTTGTTTTATTCAACAGAAATACTCAAAATTAACGAAGAACTTATAGTCAACTTTCAAATCTTTTACACTTAAAGGTAAAATTAATTATGTGATTTTTAACCCCACTGTTTTTACTTCAGAATAATGAAAAATACACTTTTTTATTGAACAACTCAACTAAATTATATTACAATATCAAACATCTAATTACACTTTCAGCACTATTTTCAGTAAAGAAAAAAAATACCAGTGCATGCCTAGATATGTGCATGCAATATTTTGTCATCGAATTGGACAACTTTCCAAATATAATTATTTTCAAATGTGCATGCAATATCCTACCCACAGGTTTATTTCAAGAATTAATGTCTACGAAGCAACAATTAATTTTCAAAAATACAATAGTTACATTTTATTTATTTTCATCGCCTATTTTAAACTGATTTCAATTTGTCTATTGCATAAATATATGTGTTTGTATAATTGACGTCGGAATTGAAGGTTGGAGGAAGAAGTTTCATCGAGGTCGGTAAGTACCCAAAATGAATTTGTTTAACATTGTTTTTCTGTAACGCTCGATAGAGCTATGCTAGTGACAATTGGCGGATCTGGCGTTCCAAAACGTACTTAGTTTTCTACTTTTTACACGAACGAAACCCGAAGAGGATTTCTGATTTCACCATGCAAAATAATTAGATAATCAATTGAAATGTATGTGCCGTGGGAGTCGAAGTTGTATTGATCTTTAGTAAAACGAAGAAGCAGAAGAAGGAAGCAAAAAAAAAGAAGATAATTATAATAAGTGGAATCATTTCCAATTAAATTATAATTGCTTTGCTTCGAAAATACGAAGAAAAGTGGGCGAATATTTTTGTCGTCTTATGCTCAAAAGGTAAAGACGATCATTAGAGCGACATATAAAGAAAACAAAGAAACTTACACTCAAACATAAATACAAAAGCGAATAAAGAAATTTCTTACAAATTGATTTCGCAAAAGTTCCTTTCATATTTTTTAATTTAATAAAAAAAAAATAATAATTAGATATAAACAAAAACTTAATTTTATATGTGTTTTATATATGATAAATGAAAAAGTTTGAATAGATAGTTTTATCGCTTATTGACGAAATACTTTTGAGGTTTGTTACTCCAGTAAATCATCTTTCATTATGTTGTCCTGCGTTCACGTAACGATGATCATGAAAGCAGCCGCTAGAATCATCAATGGATCTTATACTCAAACACATATATGTACATTAAAAAACAAAATCATACAAAATCCCCGGACGCAAAAAGGAAATACTAATAGTTGTAAAGGTATTTGTCATTCAGATTTTCTAATTCGGAAACGCGTATGCTCTGGTCTTGAAGCTTGTTATTCCTAAATCATGTCCATTTTAATATACTTCATTATACAATGTTACATTTAAAAGGATCAAATTCAATGAAATTTATACTGAAACAAATGAATTAAGAGCGGCCAACTTGTTCGACTGCGGTATAAATCAATAAATATAAATAATAATCAGGAAATAAATAGATTATTATGTGATTGGTATTTGTTTGGCAATCAATGCAAAATTATTTAGTATTGTTGCTCCAATAAATCGTTTCCGCTCATTCTGTATAAAAGGCAAAGATGATCATTAAAACGACACGTACAAACAACAATGAAATTTATATACAACACAAAAATATTCATACCCATATAAATTCCAATCCATTTGTGCATCAGAAAATTGAAGAAGTAGGGACGGTATTTGTTTAAAAGTTTCATTCCTAACTGATCATTGAGTATTAGAGACTTCAATCTCGTTTCTTCCTGTGGTGATCTGTCCTACAATTCCAGTAGTTGTGTCTTCTTTCGTTCAAAAGGTAAAGATAATCATTAAAACAACACTTATAAAACATCAAACGTACTTATTCTCAATTTCTCAATATAAATGCAAGTTTTAAATAAATAAATAAATATACTTAGAAATTATATTCCGTGAGACGTATCTGTTTTGAGAACCATAAATACTTCAGTTGCGTGTTTTGTATACATGTTTGTGCTTTGAAGTTTCGTAAATACGTTAAATCCTTTAGGGTTATTGTTACGTAAACCTGTTGAAGGAATCGTAGAAACATCAATGAAACTTATAAATCACATACAAAATATAAATGTATTAAATATTAAACTATTTTGCAAAACATTTTCTTTCTATTTCGATAAAAATCTCAGTTTATAATAAATATCATTACTAGAAATATTAAATATTTTGTATGTAATTTTAGAGTGTTTCATTTTACTCGGAAGACAAAATCATTAAATTTTCTTTTTGATTTACAGATTTTATTTTTCCAAATGTAATTATTAAATTAAAATCTTATATTATTATTATTTGATATACATTCATATTTTAATGATTATTTACTTATTTAACAATTTTTGTTAACACAATATTGATTTTTTTTGAATTATTGTAAATTTTATTAATACAATAATTTGTCTTTGATCATAATTATGGTCAATAATAATAATATAAAATATCTATTTAGAATTATATATTTATTCAAAACAGATATTTTCGAGTGTTGTATGTTTTTACAAAATTTCTTGTTTTCTTTGTTAGTAAGTTTCCTTCATAATTAGCATTGAAAGTATTTCAATATTAGATTTGTCTATTGTTAGTCGAAACAAGTTAATTATCCATTGAAAGTATTCCAGTATTTGAGTTGTCTCTTGTTACTTGATATAAGTTTCTAACTAGAATATCATTATCATTGTCAGTCGTTTGCAAATGCTATCTGACGGACAATGAAATGATATTCTATGCATTCATGTTGGATTGTGGAAATCAGTGAACCAAGTTTAACAGAATATAATTATTTGCAATTTCGAAAATTCATTACTCAGAATTGGAAAGAACATATGCCGCATCCGAGCAAACGCAATGCCTCGGAGCTCATCCGTGCATACAAACTATGCCCAAACTTGTTATTTAATTAAATCGAAATTGCTATTGGCCAACGCATCGTTTTCGTGCATCCAGGTTACCAACTAATAACGAACTCGTGTAATAATTTACTAATTACGAATTCAGTAAGTTAGTCCAGTCTTCCGATTTTTAATATAGCCAGTACCATTCTATTTCCACATTGACTCCGACTCTGACTTCATTAAGTCGCATTATGCAGCAAACGAAATTGCATAAAATGAAACACAGTGGATCGAGACCAAATTAGCATCGCCTTTCATCGCTGAATATTTTTCTCTTCTTTTTCATTTTATTTTATCTCTTTTAATTTGTTTGTTTTCAATTCGATGTGCATTCGCGTTACATTAAATTCATGCGCTAATTGGACACTGCGACAGATTAAAGCTCACATTTTTCCCTTCATTATTTCATGTATTATATGCTTCCTCGAAAATTAATTATTTTAATTGTTCGTCAAAGAGATGAAACAGCATTGCGCAATAATTCTATAAAGCGTATTACAATTTGCTTCAATTATTATATGGTTATTTGCAGCTACTTACGGCATTATATTCATTGCGTTCGCTCTGAAAGCAATTACTGAAACTATGACCAATTTCGCTAATTGCGTAAACAAAAATCTGAAACGAGAACGTACGTGGGAGTTTTACAGCAATCAGGCTCGCTTTTTATAATTATAATGGCTCCAATTGAATGGAAAATTTGAATAACATTTTATTGGAAAACATTTCACGAAGTGATTCGTATAGTTTTTTTTTTATCTATATGTTGGATTATATATAATATGGTTGAACGACAAGTGTTTCTTAATTATGGTTGCTTTGTTCGTATTTGAGGAACGCCTTTGACAATTTCATTTTTCTAGGTGGTTCTGGTTGCAAGAACCCTTGTACTAAATTGGAGAGCCCCGGTATGAACCGGGGCCCCCGTATAAATGAAGCACAGCTTATACTTTTGGCCGAAAAGGCCGCCAGCGATTACTCATTATGCGGCTATTTACGCAAGCGATGTTCAGATAGTGATAGGTGGCAGCAAAGATGGTTCGTTTTGTACCAAGTAAGTCCTTAGTCCTGATCCTTGTCCCGGTCCTGGTTTGTGAAATTCATCGATATCTTTTCAGAATTACTTGTTTTATTACGAAACTGAATCCATCGACAAGCCAAGTGGAGTCTTGTTTTTGGAAGGATGCTACTGCGACAGATTAGCATTTGCGGCTAGCAAAATGAAGAGCAAAGACTATGCGGATAAGCAGGTGAGGATGGTGTGCGTCACCAAATCTACGCAATTTGCGCAAAATGCCGAAGCGACTGAATCTATTGGTTTCTTGTTCGCGCATTAAATTACTCCTGAAATTACAATCAATGCTACAAAGCTCCCCTCACAAAGGATTCGGACACCCGGTGAATGATTTAACCGCATTACGTTGTATATTTTTCATCTTGCAATTCGAGCAAACTTATCAAATATCAAGTTAGGAAAAACAACAAACATACGGGAAAGATTTAATGAAAAGAAAATGCATGTGGAAAGCAATATCTCTATATAAACATTTTATTTTCGCAGTACTGTTTCGTAATATCCTATAAGCATCGCAATATGAGACAGTACGAGTTGAAGGCCGACAATGATTTGGAATGCAACAGCTGGATCGAAGCAATCCGTGAGGCAAGGTAAATTGTACAATTGGCAGATGAAAATAAAATACATATCTTATGCAACCAATTGTGTATTATTCAGTTACAACAAGATTGTTCTATTGAAAGAGGAGCTCGAACAGAAACACGCGCACTTACTTCGAATTGTTGAAGCGGAGAAAACGATCAAATGGGAATATACAAAACAGCTAGAAGATATGAACGTGGAAATAATGAAACTCCGGAACGAGGTACAATATAGAAAAGCGACTCGTTTTATAAAAATAAAAATACACACATATTGGGAGATAAACACAACTACAGGTCAATATTTGCAGCTCTACTTGATGAAACGAAATTGGAGACCCGTGGGGTCAACGTCGAATGCGCCCTGCACTTTTTGTCCTGTGCCGGAAGAAAGCGCGGAAATTAAAAAGATCAAAAAAGTGCAGAGCTTCTTCCGGGGTTGGCTCTGCCGTCGGAGATGGAAACAAATTGTGGAGCAGTACATAAAGAGTCCGCACGCCGAGAATATGAGGAAACGAAATAATCTAGTTTTTAAGATGGTAGAAGCCGAGGAAGAATATACTAAGCACCTGCAGGTGTTAGTAAGCTGTTTCTTTCGTCCCATGAAAATGGCAGCCTCTTCTAAGAAACCACCTTGCACTCATGAAGATATCAATTCGATATTCCTCAACTCGGAGACAGTGCTTTTCCTGCATCAAATCTTCTTGAAGGGCCTAATGTCAAGATTAGAGCACTGGCCGACTCTCGTCTTAGGTACGCGACGCATACAAAACGATCGAAAGGTCATCATTAATTTTCAGGTGACCTATTCTCCATCCTGCTCCCGATGCTGGGCATCTACCAAGAATACGTCAGGAACCATCACTTTGCGCTACAAGTACTCACCGAGTGCAAGCAGACACCTGCATTCGCGCAACTTGTGAAACGGTTAGAAAGCAAAACCGTCTGCCAAGGAAGAACTCTTGAGCAGTTTTTAACATATCCTATGCATCAGGTATTTAAATACAATTAGAAACCAAAAGGCCATCACTAAGAAATTAAATTATTTAGGTCCCGAGATACATAATAACATTACACGAACTATTGGCTCACACGCCGCATGATCATGTGGAGAGAAACTCCCTTTTGAACGCGCGCCAACGCTTGGAAGATCTATCTCGTCAAATGCACGAAGAAGTACGTGATTTAAATTTTTAAGACTGTAATTCATTAAATATTCTCATTGCGCAGATTTCTGAAACCGAGAACTTACGGAAAAACCTCTCTATCGAAAGGATGATTGTAGAAGGTTGTGACATACTGCTTGACGCCAACCAAATCTTCGTGCGACAAGGTTCGAATAATGTTTTACCGAAATATTTTTGACATTATTATCCCGCATTCGTAGGTACTTTGCTACATTTAGCAAATGAACGGAGCACTCGTTCTAAGTACACGTACTTCAATGACAAAGATGCAGTCCGTCAATGTTTCTTATTCAGCAACCATCTAATAATGACGATGCGGTAATACCAGTAAACGAAAGTAAACAATTGTTGTTCATTGCACTAATTATTCTGCAGGACATCTAATGGTAATCTCCACTTGGTCAAAAACATTGGAAAGACTTGCTTGGCTAATGTTACTTTGATTGAGGATCCGCCGGAAAGGTTTGGAGCATCGAAGGGAAAACATAAGTCTAGGAAGTCGTGCAACATACCGGAGGCATGCGGAAGTCGCACATACAATACGGTGATTGCTGCCGCAGCTTCCGCTGCTAAAACTGTCACCGTTGTTGTGAGTAAAGGAGCTGCAGTTGCTGTGAATGCAGCTATCGATCCGGACCACACGACATTTGATTCTTTGTGCGATTCAACATCCGACGATTTTTCCATCAAAATCGATCAGCATCATCATCAGCTGCAACCCAGCTTTGACGCATCTCCTGGACGCAAGCTGGATTTTAAGCTGATCGTCGAACTGAACGAGGATAACAAACTCGTGCAGGTAATTATCCAAGCACTTGCGATTCCCTTAGTATTCCACTTAGTATTTGTTATCACAGTATTGTATACATTTAATGGCGACAACCACCCAAGAAAAGGCTGCTTGGATATCGGACTTGAGCCAATGCTTGGCCAACGTTCAAGAAAATAAAGTGGTGAAGCAGACCGAGGTGGAAGCATCGTCGACCACCGTCGTCTTACCACAGATGGTTAAATTCGATCAGACGTTATTCAAAGATGAGCCGGATATCCGATTCAGCCATACTCGAAGCTCGGCACGAGTACCTGATATCCGCTATGCAACACCTGAGCGACTACTGCTACGATTGACCGGTAAAATTCGCAAACTGGCAACCGCATCTAAATGTTACCTCATCGCAACAATCATATCACCATCGCCCATTCATGTTGATGTTGCTGCTCTCAGTTCAACAAAATATGCATGACACATTCACTTTTCAAATGTTGTATATAGGCAATCAGTATTGTTATGTACATTAATGTATGCATGGTCTGTATTTATTAGGAGATTTTACTCCTAACTGGCCATTAACCACGAGGTCCTTCAGTCGTGTGTATGTACGAATGTGTGGTCATTTCGGTTATTTCTCTCTTTCGCTGACTCTCTCATTCTCTGTAACCCCATTTCAATAACTTCCTCACCCTCACTTGTTCTGTATTTTCTCTCAATTTTGCAACATGTTTTCAACAGCAAAATACATTCTATTAATTGTTACTATGGAACTTTCAGATCTACGATATCTATCGATAGATTTCATGAACACGTTCCTTTTGACTTATCGCGTATTTTGCACTGGAAACGATGTTCTGGAGGCACTGCAGAAACTTTTCCGCAGCATTGATTTGGCCGATCCGCTCGGTTCTGTGGTTTCCTTGGAAGAAGAAATTAAAAAAGTTGAAGTTCCGGAAGTCACGGAACCAACTACCAAAACGTTAACCACCGAGGTGGGTACACAGCGCAGAATAAGTATCGCCAGCTCAGTTTCTGGCTACTGCTCTGATAGGTCGCATAGCTACGACTCCCAAGGGCAAAAACACTGGAAATGCAATTTACAGAAATGTACGTAACTCAATCAAAGAACGTTCATAAAATAGTGTATTACAACAAAACCTGTCTTCCGAACTCTAGATGACGAAGAACCCGCCATTCTTACGAGTCCTAATGGAGCTGAAACGCCTACATTAATTCAAAGTCCGAGCGTGCATTCAATTGAAACAGTCGTTCCTAATTTGACTCGTATATCAATCACTGTGCAAGATGAATCATCTTTTTTGACTATTCCTAAACCAACCGGCTCCAGCAGTAGCAGCGATAGTCTTACAGGTAATATAGTCAACCGTGACCGTGACAACAATGTTTTACATTGATATTCATAACAATTCTCAGATATAACGGTAATAAGTGCGCCTCGATCTCCGAGCGCTATAAGTACGAAGACTCTAACAGATACTTCGCCTAGTGAAAGCAAAGACGTCAGGGTGGTAGTCGATGTGCATCAGCCATGTATACCTTCAACATCATCAACCATAGTGAATGTGCATCAGCCTTGTACACCTTCAACATCATCAACCAAAGTCAATGCGCATCAACCTTGTACACCTTCAACATCATCAACCATGGGAGAGGTAATTCCTCCGAAAAGACCAAAACCACCACCGCCAAAAAAGACTACTGAGATTAGGTTAGAGGGAATGACGCCGCAAGTACGAATTTGCAATGAAATTGATGAGGTCAAAGAGTCCTCTTTCAACACTGCAACCACTCATCAGCTGGCAAGAACATTCAGAGGAAGAACGAGCTCCGTATGCACAGCATTGGCTCTGCAGCATTATTATGGATTGAAAAAATCTATGGAAGAATCACAGTCCTCTGATCAATCCATATATAAAAACAAACAAGTCACTAAAGTTGGAGTATCGGTGACATCCGTACGCGAGGAACAAGGACGGTAAGTTGTTTGATTCTTAATTGGAAATAATAGAATCATTTAATTTTGAACTTGCAAATAGAAGCGGTAACAAGAAAGCAGCATCCGCTTACGCAATGGCAACATCTGCGTCTAGCAACCCTAAAGACGTTTCACCGAAATCAGAAGAAGAATTGCAAGAAAAGCTACGCAAAAAATATCAGTACATATCGACTGCATGCACGAAAAGAGTTCTAACAGTATTACGGTAAGATATTATATAAATAAATAAATAGATATATGCATATATTTATTTAATTAATTATAGACACTGGATCTCTAAGCAACGAAACGATTTTACGACCAACGAAGAATTGTATAATAATGCGATTGAGTTTTTGGAGGATATCATCGCCAGTCCAAATATATTGGCAGCGGAGCACCAATCCGCTGAGCAAATTTTATCCTTACTGACTGAAAAAAGCACCGACGACTCGAACCTAAAAGAGATACAAAAACTGATCAACCAGCCGTCATCTCTAAATACTTCTGATTCAACTATGATCTACTGTCCGATGAAGCAGAATCTATCTCACATTCTGCCTGGCTGTCTTGGAAAGAAAGCATTTACCTTCAAAACACCCACAAATGCTCCATCAGGTCTCAGTATCGACAATTTCTCGGCTTTAGAAATTGCCGAGCAGCTTACCTTAATAGACCATCAGATCTTCGTTGGAATTACAAATGAGTACGTAAGTCCTCGTTATCTAAGAGCAGCGCCGTTTCATTATTTTTTTTTTCAGCGAATTCCTTTGCCAGGCGTGGATGAAGAAGGATAAGGACACAAGAGCTCCGCACATCATATTAATGACAAAACGGTTCAATGATGTTTCACGTTTGGTCATATCGGATATCGTTAGACGGCAGAATTTGACCAGCCGCGTTGCAGCTTTAGAGAAATGGGTAACTATTGCAGACATCGAACGCTGCCTACAGAACTTCAACGGAGTCCTGCAGATCTGCGCCGCATTAAACAACAGCGCTATCTTCAGATTGAAGAAGACTTGGGAGAAGATTTCCAGATCGGTACGGATCGGCTTGCTAATAACCATGTCTAAATGAATAACCAATTCTCGTTTCTAGACTAAAACCACTTTGGATAAACTGCAATCCATCGTCTCTTCCGACGGACGCTTCCGTTTGCTGAGAGACTATCTGCAGAAGTGCGATCCGCCATGTATCCCGTACTTGGGAATTTACTTAACCGATCTCTCGTTCATCGAAGAAGGTACCCCGACCTACACCAACGAAGGTTTATTAAACTTCTCCAAAATGAGAATGGTACATTGAATGTCCAATGTACTTTGCATGGTGTATTAATGCATTTTTTTTCAGGTTGCTAACATCATCAGAGAAGTTTCCCATCTGCAGCAAACGCGATACAGGATTCAGAGTTCGCAGAAGGCTATCGGTTTCATAACCGATACGGCTCAGTTACTCGACGACGATCAGCTATTCGGACTTTCCTTGGAGCTCGAACCTAGAGCACCGCGAGAATAAATATTGCAGTATTTTGATGATCGGGCATCTATACTATATATGCCACATATTTATATAAATATATTTATCCATTTGAAACTTCGCAATTAATTAATTGTTATTCCAGGGTAATTACATTTCAGCATTATATAAAACAATACTCGTTGTACAATAAGATAAAATTTTAAATATTGTTGCGGTAAATGTAAGATGAGGAAATTGAGAGTGAGATTTATAGGATGGGTCTCTTTGACTTTTAAATTATTGTCTACATAATTCGAAAAGTCAAACAGCAGAGTCAGAATTGTATTTTAACTACGTACCAATAGTTTATTATATAAATATATATATTTATTAAAGTCACAAAAGTATATGTCTACAAAACAATTAAAAACAATGCATTTATGTCTCACATTATAAACCCATTATTTTTTTTAAATATATTTAAATTTAATAGATAATAATGGATTTGTAATGTGAGAGCATTGTCGATATTGATATACCGGTGACAATCGTTATATAATATTGAGAGTATAGCCATTATGACAGAAACAATAACGTATTTAAAAAAATGTATACGTATGTATCCTCATATTCAATTGCTCCGTATTATTCAATATTATATATCCTATTATAATCATCAGTAAATACAATATTTAATGTCAATATTCAGCTATAATGAACAGTTCAATATGTAATAATTATAAAAAGATTAATAAAATATACCAACAGAATATAGCTTTTATCAAATTATCACCAATCATTACAACACATAATTATAACTAACAATTAATTTTTACACGTGCAAGAGGGACGAAAATAAGAACACACATGAGCTAAATTCAAAATATATGCTTATGCAACACAAAGTACAACCTTGTTGATCTTATGTTTAAAACAATTATCAATGAAGATTCCTCTTCAATAATTTCTTGTTTCATTAAACAATTATAATCAAAAGTCAGCTATAACTTATATTGTAAATTAATTAACCATAACTATTTGTTATAGATTGCCCTTTAAAAGAAAGGTATAATATATGTTATGTCATATATATTAAGAGTTTAGCATACTTATGGCTCTAATTATGATGTAGTCTAAGTTGAATAAGTTTCCAATTTTAATCTAGATGCATTTTTGTTTCTACAAATATTAATAATTAACAAAATGTATAAAATTCCAGTATTGATCACCTTTCAATGATATTGATAGAGATTTGTTGCCTGTTTATCAGGTTGCATAATAGTTTCGTATAGTATAGTAATTTAATAAAATTTGTGGCATCGTTGCTTGACACTTGTGCTCGACATTTGTGGGAGTTGTCCTGCACACTGTTTGGCACTATTTTGAAGAGAACTTTGGTGATAATTCATTACGATAGTTTTTATAAAGTAACTATCATGAGTTTTACAGCAGAGGTGAGAAAAATAAGCATAGCTTAGATAACTAATAACTCTATATTTTTAGAACATCCCATGCATCCAATGCATAGTTATACCATTGATTATTTTGTTAATTAGTATTTTTGCCCTATTCGTCAATCGTTCCAATAAGAGGCAACCCAGAATTACAATTGATGTAAGTGTTCATTAACAATGTATGATTCACATGATCCATTAATTGTATGTCATAGGAGCTCAATAGAAAACTGTGCGAGTTTGTGCCTGAACCTCTGGCCCCTGAAAATGAACTCTATGTTGAACCTATAATTTTGGAACAATCCAATCCAACTTATGTATGTAGGAAAAAAATAATAAATGAACAGGAAATTTAACATTAAATATTTTAGGTTTTCAATAATGTGCAAAACTTGCTAAGCAATAACTATTTAAACTTGACAAATAAAGAAAGCATTAAAAAAATAGCAACAGACTGCATTAGAAGTAATGGTGTTGGTTCATGTGGACCTCGGGGTTTTTATGGAACTGTTGGTAAGATTATAATTTGAAATTATTTTATTTCATTTATACATAATTTGTATTTATAGATGTACATTTGGATTTGGAATGCCGCATATCCGAATTTATGGGCCTTGAGGAAACTGTTCTCTACTCTTACTCAGTTTCTACCTTATCTAGTGCCATAATAGCTTATTGCAAACGTGGAGATGTAATATTTTGGTAATTTTATAATTACTCTTAAACAGCTAATGAATGTATCTTTGTAATATTTTCTATGTTATAGTGATGAAAAACTTTGCAATCCATCAATTGAAGGTATAAAAGCTTCAAAAGCTACTATTGTATATTTCAATCACAATGATATGGCAGACTTGGAAAACAAGTTGATTGAGCATGATGAAAGAGAGAAAAACAAGGTTACATTATAAATTAAAGGTTTTCGTAACGCTAACGATGTTTTATATTTTAGAAGAACAAGTCGCGCAAATTTTTGATTGTAGAAGGTATATATTTCCAGACAGGAAAGATATGTCCATTACCTGAACTGATGGCTATTCGCGAGAAGTACATGCTAAGAATGTTCCTGGATGAAAGCATCTCGTTTGGTGCCATAGGTACAAATGGACGTGGTGTTACCGAATATTACAATGTCAACGTATGCTACTCAATTGAGATGAATTAATAGAACTACTCATTTATGCTTTTGTTTTACAGAGGAAAGAGATTGATTTGATTGTCGGAAGTCTCGAATTTGGTGTATCTTCGATTGGTGGTTTTTGCGTAGGCAGTTCCTTTGTGATTGAACATCAAAGGCTCTCAGGTTTAGGTTATTGCTTCTCAGCATCACTTCCACCATTTTTAAGTTCAATTGCTATACATGCAATTGATTTATTTGATACTAAACCTGAGCTTTTTGAAAAGCTTCACAATGTTTGCAAGTTAATGCATAATGAGTTGAGTGGTGCAACAGGTATTACAATACTGAGTGACCCATTGTCTCCAAAGAAAGTATTTTCTGTTGCTAAGGTTTCACCTGATAGCATCATTGACTATGTAAGATCCGCATATTTAGTTACGTGAATATATTTAATACTTTATATTTTAGTGCAAAGAAAGAGGTGTCATTGTAGACAAGATGGACGAAAACATTTATTTCAATATCAACATTGAAATGGACAAAGAATACATCTCTAAAGTTGTTAAAGTAATTACATCTGCAGTTTAAAACATCGATGAATGATTATATTTGCTAGCATTAATTAAAATTTATCTTAAAACAAAAATTTCATCTCGTTATTTACTCATTTTTTTTCCTCTAATGAGTTTGTACAGTATTAATTACTTTTGTCTGTATTACTTACAGTTATTGCTAAAACTATAGGCAACTTTTTTGTCGTGCGTGTTAAAGTCTAGCGCATGTTACAAAGGGAGTAAGAAGAAGCTGGGTCTCTGTAACACGTTGGTTGTAATATTGATTCCGCTCAGGATATATAACCTTTCAAGGAATTGAGTATTTTGGTTGTGATATGAATGTATAAATATAATTATCATGCATTTACGGACAGTTTATATATATGTACTTTGGATTATTTATTTAAAAACATGTACCATACAGCTACGAAAATTTTAAAGGGAAAAAATAAGTAAAAAGTGTTACTGCGAGTGTAAAATGTGTGTTGTGAAAATGAAAAGTATTGTTTGGAAGTTAATTACATTGCCAAAGTCCTGCTAGTGAGTATATGCCAACAGGATTATATAGAGTTGTTGTTTAGTAACAATGTTTCAGTGATGTATTCAAAACATTCCTCTACAGATCTGCATATACTCTCAAGTCTTTTCAGTATAATCATTTTGTGGATGCCAGTTACTGTGCAGATGTTTGTATGGAGCCACTCTTTTGGTTCGTTGACAACTTTACTTATGTCATAGGTCCAGTAAGTTGTTGATCGGTTGAGGGCCAATTGGTCTCTAAAATTATTAAATATAAATAAACAAAGTTCTTCCAGATTTTTGTTGTTGCTGTTGTTTGTCTAACAGCTGCTGTTGTGCTCATTGCATATTGGCTAGGGCTGCCCTATTGGTGGGACAGGAACCCTGCAGTTTGCATTATTCTAGTTATCATTGGTCATTGGCTACTCATGAACATCTCATTTCATTATTATATGGCTGTTATTACATATCCAGGATATCCACCTCAGGTATTTAACATTTATTGGATAGCTCTTGTGCCTTCCTGCTAGTAGCAATTTAAAATGTTACATAAACGAATTGCAGGGTGAACTGATATATGAAGCTGTGAGTATTTGTAAGAAGTGCATAGCACCAAAACCTCCCAGAACGCACCACTGCTCTGTTTGCAACAAGTGTATTCTTAAGATGGATCATCACTGCCGTATCCTTTATTACACTTGCGATGTGCACCGTAAAACATATTTTTTGTAGATCTCGTTTCTCCTTAATATTTACAGCTTGGTTGAATAATTGCGTTGGTTACAACAACCATCGATACTTTTTTATGTACATGGCTTACATGGTAGTCGGTGTCTTATTTTTAATTATTTTCGGAGCCGAACTCGCTTACAATGAACTGTGGTTGGTACACGTTGATCCAGAATTAGAGGGACATCCGGTGAAGATTAACCAAACCGGCGCCTTGATTCCCGTGGTAATGATTATCAGATCGAATTGGTCGTTTTAATTCTAGACTCCTTTTAGACAGAATTCCCAGACTTCCTGGTCACCAAGTTCGATGTTCCTTCAAATATTGCGAATCCATTGTGGAGAAGGCGTGCAGTTGTGTTCATGGGTCTCATTAATTGCGGTACGTTTATATACATATAATTAATTATTAGAAACATATTAACTAAGTTTTGAGACGTTATTAGGGGTTTTCATAGCGCTGGGGGGTTTGGTGGCATGGCATAGTCAATTGATTTGCAAAGGAGAGACAAGCATTGAAGCCAATATCAACAAAGCCGAAACTGCTCGCTTCGAGTTGTTAGGTCGGACATACGTCAATCCTTTCGATTTCGGTACGCGGAAGAATTGGAGACTGTTTCTAGGTTTGGTCAATGGTAGGTCATGGTTACGCCACGTTTTGTTACCATCCAGACACGCACCGTCCGGCGACGGAATTGTTTGGAACACCATCCACGATAACCTGGATGATATTGAAGAATGGCCTTAATCTTACGATACTAGTCAAACTTTTAAATAAATTCCTAGCCAAACAAGAACGCGAGATTCGTGTTTCCGTACAACTTTTACATTCATCAGAATCGCTGTGACATTTTAATGTGGTATATAAACATATAATAGAAACACCATTTGTTTTATTTAATAATTGTAATAATTTTCAAAATGATAAGTAAATAAATGGTATATTCAAAAGTAGAATTCATTATAGGATCATAGTATTAAGATGTTGCTTTTGGATGAACAACAAAACACCTAACCAAAATCCCGCTCATCGCGCTCGATATAAGCAGTGATTAGTGAAAACAGATCACCTTAATTGCAATAAACTGCGCTAAGTTTAGTTTGTTTAGTGTTCTCTTAAATAGTAATTAGTAGTAGTAGCGTATTGGATTGTTCTGTAGTCCTGTAGACTTTGTCGACTGTTTCACCAAATTGTTTCTTCTATCCACTTGACGAACGAAGCGACTTTACTGTAAATAGCAGGTGTATTGTTGACTGCGCAACTTTTTCCGAAAGACGTAATTCCCACTAAATAAAATACGCATTGGTTATCCTTCTTAGTCACAAATAGCGGTCCACCTGAATCGCCCTGATATGAGAAAATAACCAGTTTATATTTAGAGAACAAAGATAATTATCGTCGAATTCTTTTACCTGGCATGTGTCTTTTCCTCCAGTCAATTCACCTGCGCATATCATATTGTCCAAAACACCATTAGGCAAGCCTCTGGAGTTGTTGTAGACCTTCTGACAGTGGTTATTTTGTATAATATTTAAAGACACTTTTTGCAGAACATCGCTTGAATCGCCGCCTGCCGAATAAAGAAATTGATTAACTCATTCATTCACATTTTATAGTTATTAGTATTAAAACAACCTAAGGATGTGAGACCCCAGCCCGTTGCGAATGCCGTGGGTTGCTTAAGTTCTGGACTGCTCCATAAACAGGCTGGTCTAATATACTTGTTGAACTGCACCTTCTTGCCGAGTTTCATCAAGGCAATGTCATTGTATTTTTGGCTGCGTTTATAGCCAGGGTGACTGATAATATTGTCAATATCGTAATCAACCGGTGACGCGCCTTCGTCGTCTTTGGCTAAATCTAGCTCTCCCAATCGGACCCTCACCGGGGAGCCCCTAAACAGAAAGCCAATGTGTTGTTTGTTTGATTCTTTTATCACAAACTCCATTCGTCAGAGTTTATATAAACATATTTTCGACAGGCTACGATAACGCGGAACATAAACAAGAAGATAAGACGAAAGAATAAAGTCTAATCACTTACAGAGTTCTGTGGTAGGTGCAATGAGCTGCGGTTATCACATATCTATCGCTTACGAGAGTACCCCCGCAATACCATTTCACTTCGTCAGAATCCTGGTAACCGATGGCTGCCTAGAAAACGATAAACATTAACTCTCTATTTACGAAACCCATCTGAATTACCATGAAAGGGAATTCCCCAAGCTGCGCAGGACTTCCCCCCACAATAAGCGCAACTCCATCAAAGTCGCAAGTTGTGATATTCACGTTCGTCGGTAAAGCACCGGCAATCAGAGGTAAAATTTGAAACTCTCCACTTATGGATTTACTATATTCGTTGCATTCTAAAACAGGTGTATATTCATTCATTCATTCAATGTGTTTTGCGTATATATTACGATAACTCACTTTGTTCGCTGATGCTAATTTTATTTCTGTTTGCGTTGTCTCCTGGATAAACAATGTCTTCGTTACTTGTCGGGTATTCGAAGTTCAACAACGAAAATTCGTTCACTTCCAGTTGACCTACGATTTAAATATTCATTAACGATTGTAACAATATAAATTATAATCGGCATCACCTTCACAGCAAACGATGGGCAAATTGTTTTGGGCATAGCCGCAAATTGTGGGACGAATACCTTGCTGGCTCTGCTTCTTTGCCAACGGACAGTCCGAGCTTAACTTACAAATCCCCGGCAGACCCGTGTACTCGAATTTGCAATTCCTGCCGACTGCATTAGGTCGTTATATAGTAATCAGCGGAATCAAAGATGAATGTAATTAATAATGACTTACCCTGGGCTACTGATGTATGGGCCAACAAGAACACGCACAGAAGGAACAAGTCAATATTCATGATGATCAGACGGGTTAGTCTTCAATGGACATGTGACCGAATCGCTTATATAGTAATATCTCTCGTACGTGCTTCTATTTCCGTACGACTTGTGCATAAAGTAGCAGCAGTAGATGTGTACTGGATTTACCAGATATCATCGGCGTCACTCTGAATAATGTCATCAAGGGAACCTAAAGTTTTGGTTCGGAGTGCGGAGCGTCGCGGTTTGCTCCTGCCGTCTTCCAGCTGAAAACCGAAATGACCATTCATTAAAATCTATTAGAAAGTCAATGGTTGGCGGTCGCTCGTTGATTGCCGACGGAAATATGATGACCTGAGAATTTGGTGGGTCTGTTGTCGCTCCACGACCAGGCACAAAACTGCAATTTGCAACGGACGGACAAGTTCAAAACCGGTTCAGCTTCGGCCAAGGCGACGACGAGACAATTAAAATCGAGGACCGTAAACAAACAACGATTCAAAGACGTCCGCCAGGCTATAAACTCAATACCGCCTCCGCCTTGCTAAAGCGTAATAAATCCATAACGGTACCTGTAAATACCTTAAACAAGTTTCAACACTGCTTGCTACCGAAGCAGACAAATAAACGAGCTGGCGAAAAATCCCAGCCATAGTTCTACTCCGATTTACGTAACGGAAAGTACAAGACAATCGTCAGGAAATATCGGTCGAATCGATTCGAATCAATTCGATTTGAACAACAAGTCGAGATCGCGTCGTAAATTGACGATTTCACGATTCCCGCGTGCTTTAATTGCGGTAATTATTTGCGCATCGGAAATTGCAAATGCGACCGGGCCAAGGTTAGACGGGTTCTGTGGTTTTGGCCATCGCAACTTCTTGGTAAACTCTTAACACACAATGGGAAAGCGGCGGAGGCGCGCGGGGTTCACGGGAATTCAGAAGATAACAAATGTGGTGGGTTTCCCGAGCGCTGCTTTACTGCTACCAATCTGCTGACTGGTTACGACGTTTGCCCATCTTCCTCGCCTTGCTTCGGCCAGCACTCGCTCACGCTAAATCATATATAAACATTGCCAGCACTACTTGCAGACCATTACTGTTCCAAACACCGAATCGTCCGCCAGATCACCTGCCACACGAAGAACAACAGTACCTCAGCACCACAATGGTAAGCAAACCTACCTATTCACCTTTCAAGAGTATTTTTTCTCTCTCTTGTTTGAACATAAAAAAAAACTCACACAGTTATTCAAACATTTAAATATCTCAAAATAACGTTCAATATTGCCAGTGGCGCAACGCCGATATCAGCAAAGTTCACAGGAAGCTATCAATTGGAATGTTTTTGGTTTTACAGAAGTGTTTTGCAATCTTGATGGCCTTGTTTGTATACACAAATGGACAGCGTCCGTCGTACGCTGGTACCGGACCAATCGGAAGACCTAGCTTGGCGAGTCGCTTTAAAGATACCACCGAGGCGCCAACTACCATTGACCTGGCCAACAGAATGCAGGACACGTCCACGGAGAAGATTCCAGTGGACGCCCGAGGCGACAGTGACCTAGTGAACAGGCTCAACCAGTGGCCACGGGAGAACCGGCCTTTTTGGCTCATCAACGCCGAGCACATCGAAGCCTCGCGCAACCCAAACAGGAACCAGCTGCAAAATAGGAACAACTTTGACTCATCCGAGACCATACCGATCAGGCCTACGGCTCAGAGGTCGTCCTTCCTGGCACCCATCAACTAAAACTCGAGACTCCGCCGATTATCTACGTTCATAATTTATTTCTTAATGCCATATACGAGTGCTTCCCTCACTAACAACCCCAACTTGGAGATATTGTTGGATTATGCAAAATAAATGAAGCTAACTAACGTTATTATATATATTTATATATATTATTCTCTCTTATATTTTGTTTTTCTTTTTTTTTTGTATTTTTACATAATATGATACAGAGTATGTGTGTGGCTTTGCGCAAGCGACAATGCAGTATGAACAACGTAAACAATATTAAATTAAATAAATCGAGTATGGCTGAATGAAAAGACGGCTCAAGCAATATCACACGAAATTAAATAATCTCTTCATACCGTTAGTTAAAGTACAAGTTATATTCGAGAGTAATTGCTCCTGATTTGGTTTTAATTATAAACGAAATGAGTGTCAGAAAATCGAATCGAAGCTAGACATGCATTCTCCGACAGCGCACCTTAGAGATGTTGAAGTTTTGAGTTGAGGATGCTGGCGGTGCGTGTCTTCTGATTGCTACCAAGCAACGATTCGATGCATTGTGGACTGCATTTTCTTTGCAGTCTCTCAGTTTGATAATCTTCCTCATTCCTTAAATATGAATAGTATACATGATAGTTGAATTACATAATCGGAGCAAGTCGTTCGTTGTAAAATAATGGGTAAATAAATTAATAAATAATAAGTAAGTAAATGAAACGAAAGAAAAGGAAAAATAAAAATTGCTTGTCGGGGCGTTTTAGAGGTCGTTGGGCGGAACGACGTTGAGCGAGAACGCTGCCAAGGTCTCACTCTTCTTGCCAATCGCCTTGGCTTGGTACTGGCCGACGTCGTTCGAGTCGCAGGACAATATCTTGATGGTATAGCGTTTTCCGTCCGCAGTGAAGCTGTACTTGGAGATGCTCTCCTTGATCGGTTTTCCGTCCTTGAGCCAGTTGATCTGTAGAGGTTCGTCTTCGGTTTCGGCAGCGAATGAAGCCGCCTCGCCCTCTGAAACCGTCGCGGATATTGGGAATGTTTTGAAGACGGGGCTCTTCGGCTGCTCGCCAGGGACGACCACGTTCAACGTACAGCTGCTGAAGCTCTCGCCGATGTCGTTAAACGCCTCGCAGGTGTACGCGCCCGAATCCTCCGGGAATATTTCTGCGATCTCCAGCTTATAAATATTTGCCTCGTTGCTGTACTTGAAGTCTTTGCTCGGTTTGATTTCCTTGTTGTTGTGCAGCCAAATAACGTCGAACTTGTCGCTTCCGATGATCCTGCAGGATAGTGTCACTGGTTCGCCATCCTTCACGAATGCCGATTCGAGGTGACTCACGATCCTGGGTGGTTTATCATCACCGGACTTTTTCTTACCGTTCACATTTCCCATGGCTGGAATCAGGATCAAGAATATTAATTTCAAGTGACTACCATGCGTCATACATTTTTACTTACGTTTTACGCTCAATTTACATGTTGTTTCTACGCTTCCGACGGAGTTAACAGCCTTGCAAGCGTACACCGCCTCGTCTTCCGGATACACTTCGTTGATTAATAGGGTAGCAATTCCGTTCTTATACTTAAGATCTACTACTTCTGAGGAACTTAATGGTTTGTTGTTCTTAGTCCAGGTGACCTGGGGTTCGGGATCACCCTTCACGTGGCAGGTCAATGTCAAGGATTCGCCGTCGGCGACAGTCAAATCCTTCAATTCCTTGGAGAATCTGGGAACGCACATCGTGGAATCATCTGGTGGGACTGTTTAGAAAAATATATTAATTAAAAAATTATATAATAATTATTATTTTCTAAGAACATATTAATTCATAATACATACGGGCTAATTCCTTAGTTGAGTTCCTGGATCTGTTCGGACTACCTGTGCCGGTGGAATCCAACCTACCGCCATACCTTTTCGGGGACCTGTCGTTAACATTTAAACTTGCCGAAGAAGACGACAAGTTCAAACTATTCGGCCTTTGTTGTGTAATATTTTTCTTGATAGTCACAGGGATAGGTGCTGGTTTTATGGGTTGCTCGATATATTTGCGATCTCCAGAATAGAGGAACTTGTGTGCCAATTGACTCTGTTCGTCTGTCTCGTTGGCACCTTCCACGATGACTACGCAATTGGTTTCGTCCGTGCCATGTGCATTAGTGGCTACACAGCTGTATCTACCGGAGTCAGATTGTCTGCATCCGACGATTTCCATTGTAACCACACCATCAGAATGTGACATGGAGTATTCGTATTTGCTAAGTTCGCGTTTGTCCTTGTACCATTTAACGGTGGGGAAAGGCTTGCCGCTAAGACAGCAAAGCAGCTTGCAGGTGTCTTTAGCTTGCATAACACGCGGACGCAACAGGAAGGTGAAGCTGGGAGCGCATTCTTGTTCTTCCTGCCAGTATGTGTACGGAAGCGGTTCCCTTCTGCGAGTCGGTTGTGTTTCTGGTCTGTACTCTGGTACAACCTTTGGCAATGCTGAAATCGAAACAAGAATTATAATTAAACCACCATCCATCGATATTTTTTTCAAAATCTTACGTTGCACGTTGAGGAATACTACTTCTTCCCTGGATCCGTAGTGATTTTCAGCGCGGATGACGTATTCTCCACGATCTTGTAACTTGGCTCTATTAATGATGAAGTAATAATCATCGCCGACATAGCGCTTCATGAATTTAACGCTCTGCCTAAGTTCTTGGTTGTTGTGGTACCAGCTCAAAGTTGGTGTTGCGATTCCAACAACTCTGCAGTAGAATTTAACACTCTGTCCTTCATAACAGAATGCACTTTGTGGCCTAATGACGAATCTAGGCGCTGCTTGTCTTCGATCTTAAAATAAATGGCATGTAGACAATGTATTAAATAATTATCAAAATACTCACCGAAATATGTGTCGTGTATCTTATATTTCTCCATAAGTAATTTGCGTAGCGACGAATAATTAGATAAGCGGCCAATTGGCAGGGTGAACGAATCCCAGTTTTCATATCTGGAGCGAATCTTGTCACGTAGTTTCAAGTATCTGGATTGTTCGATAATCTTTGTTTTCTTGCTGTGGTCTCCAGTCAGCCAAGAGTGGACTAAGCACTCTTGTGCAGTCATGCGTTTCTCTTTGTTCTTGAGCAAAAGCCTCCTAATGAAGTCCTTGCCTTCCTCGGAGACATTAGTAAAAGTTTCTTCATCAAAGTCCCAATCGCAACCCTTAACGTTCTTTAGGGTTTCGATATCATTTTCACCAGCGAACGGTGACAGTCCGCTCAAAAGAACGTATGCCAAAACACCGACGGCCCACATGTCTGTGTAGAAACCAACCGGTTCTCTTTCCACAATTTCAGGAGCAGCAAATTCAGCTGTGCCAGTCGAAATTTTGACAACTTCATTTGGATCCAACTTGGTGGCCAAACCGAAATCGATGAGTTTGATGTTTGTACTCTTGCGAGTCTGGCACATAATATTCTCTGGTTTGATATCCAAATGAATGATATTCTTCTCGTGCATGTGCTTGATAGATTCGCAAATTTGTCTCATATAATTGATAACCTCGGCTTCGGACATTTGATATCCTTCAGCAGTGATACGTTCAAACAGTTCACCACCAGAAAGGCTAAAATAAAATGGATATAAATATTTTTCTTAAAGATATCATTCTACGCTATGAAAACTTACAATTCGTAAATAAGTACCATCTCGTCATCATCTTCGAAGGCATCGTGAAGATTGATGAGTTTGGGATGATGCAATTGATTCATAATGTCGATTTCTTTGCGAATCAACTCCTTTTCCATGGCATGGGTAACAGGAATGAATTTGGCAGCGAAAATATTACCGGTCTTGCGTTCACGGCACCTATGTACAACACCAAATGCACCGGTACCGATCTCCTCCAAAATGTCATAATCATCATAAACACTTCTGGTCTTAATTTCAACGGGTTGTGGTACGAATTTCGAGTAGATGTCAAATACGTATTGATCGTAGTCCTTAATGGGCTCTTTGTGAGATGAACGGATCTTCTTGCCGTTCTCGTCGACTTCGTACTTTCTTCTCTGTTCCTTCTTCTTTCCTGTATCCTTGGTGGTTACCAGGGTGCTCATTTCAGATGGTTCGGAGCGTCCGTATACGTTCTCAGCATAAACTCTGAATTCGTATTGATGTCCTGGTGCCAGACCACTAATGGCCATTGTTGTAAATCTGGTGTTACCAACTCTAAGCCAAGTTTGCAGTTTGTGTTCACGCTTCTCGACCAGATAATTAGTGATATTACTGCCTCCATCCCACAATGGTGCCTTCCAAGACAGAGCCAAGGAGTCAACACCAATACTGTCAACAGTTGGGAATCTAGGTGGATCTGGTCGGTCGCTAATTTGAATTTTAATGATAGCAGAGTCTTGACCAAGGTCATTCTCAGCAGTTATCCTGTATGGACCACTGTCTAGTTTGCTACCATCGCGAATCGTAAGAATTGCGTGTCTGTCTTTAACTTCAACATGGTAGTGTCCGCCGGATTCGATCATCTCTCCCTCACGGACCCATGAAATTCTGGGCTTTGGATTTCCAGTGAATGGAATCTTAATAACAACGTTCTCACCTTTATCGAAGAATGCAGTATCACGGAAACGTGGTGGAATGTTCAATTTGGGTGGAGCTAATAAAAAAGAAATAAGTTAGTTAGTTAGTGCTTTGCAATTACAGAAAACAAAGAATACTTACTCATTATAATAAGTTCAGCGCGAGTGGATTTTACGCCACCCTTATTAACAGCTCGGCAAACGTACTCATCGGCGTCTTCTCCGTAAACATCGGCAATTGTAAGGTGGTAGACATCATCTTCATTGTAGATATGATACCTTGATCCACTGGTGATCTCTCGGGCTCCCTTGTACCAGGTGATGGTTGGTTTGGGCACTCCAATAATAGTGCACTGGAATTGAGCATTGTGATTCTGAATGCAATTTGCATTCTTAAGTGGTTTGATAATTTCTGGTGGTGTGGCTGCCATCGGATCAATGATCTTCACAGATGATGAAGCTGAGGACGGTTCAGAAACTCCGGCAATGTTCTGTGCGAAGACACGGAATTCGTATTGACGTCCTTCAATCAAGTTCGAAATATTGATTTGAGTTGGCAAGCAAATTGCAACGTTCACACGCTGCCAAGCATTGCTTCCAACTTCCCTCTTATCTATCCAATAGCCTTGGACGCGCGCTCCTCCGTCGGATTCCGGCTTGGTCCATTCAAGGTTGACAAAGTCGCCTCCGACTTGAGTAACCTTAGGTATACCAGGTGGTGATGGTGGATCGAATGGAGCCTTTGCCTTTATTGGGTTGGTTCCTTCCAATGGTGGTCCCATTCCATTATCGTTCACAGCCATTACACGGAACAGATATTCTTGTCCCTCCGTCAAACCCTGCACCATGAAGTGTGTATCTTTGCAGGATGAGGAAATTGTGATCCAGTGCGACAGTGAGATATCCTTTCGTTCGACTACATAGTGGGTAATGCGAAGACCGCCGTCATAGCTAGGTGGTTTCCAGCTAAGATTGCAGGTATGTTTGGTAATGTCGGATACATCGAGAGGTCCAATTGGTGCACCAGGCAAACCGGTAATGAATACGGTAAAGTTGCCAGACGCAGATCCGGAATCATTTTTAACAGTGAGATTGTAATTTCCAGCATCGTCCTTTCTGATGCCTCTGATAAAGATAATGATGTAGTCATCAAATACGGTGTATTTAATGTGTTCTGATTCTTCAACTTTAACGCCGTTCTTGGTGAGTGTAACGTCAAGCGGTTGGTCGCCGGAATAATAGATCTTGATCTTTGTATTATCATTTTCTGGCAAGTACAAGTCTCCGGGCATGCGTTCAATCCTCGGTGGTGATCCAACTTTGACGCGAGCTGTGGTCGTGACCGATCCCAGCGAGTTACTGGCTTCACAAGTGTAGTCTCCGTCATCGATATCAAGAACATCGGAGACGTACAGGTAAGCAACACTTCCCTTAGTTTCATATCTAAATCTACCAGTCAAAGAGATTTCCCTACCATTTCTCAGCCACCTATAAGTAGCAATAGGTTTACCGTAGGCTTCGCATTCGAGCGTCAAAGTTCTTCCTAATGGAACGACGGTATTGTTCAAGGTACGTACCCATTCTGGCTTCTCACCACCAAGAACTTCACATACTTTGACTGGAGTTGTGCATGCACTAGGTTCACTCCTTCCTGCAGCATTTACGGCGAATATACGGAATTCGTAATCAGATTTCTCGATCAAGTTGAGAACGGTGTAATTTGTATCGGTAACATTGTACTCGTTGCACTTGGTCCAAAGTGGGCTGCCGATTTCGCGCTTCTCAATAACATAACCAGTGATCCTAGAACCACCGTCGCTACTTGGCACCTCCCATGTAAGGTCGACATAACTCTTGCCAACTTTCACGACCTTCGGTGCTCCTGGTGGCGCAGGCACGTTGAACTTGCCCTTAAGCTTGAATCTTGTAGAGGATGCTGATGGTTTGCTGAAACCGGCGGCGTTCTTAGCGCGCACCCTGAATTCGTATTCATGTCCTGTCATCATGTTGAACAGATCGAAATGAGTTTCCTTGACCAAATAGTCGCTGACAGATGTCCAGTTGGAGTCAGCCACGTCACGATATTCTAACTTATAACCTTGGATGCGAGAACCACCATCATTGTTAGGACGGTCCCAGTGCAAGTAGATAGTGCTAGAATCCCAGTCGGTGACACGAGGTGCACCCGGTGCATCTGGTACAGTGAAGGGGAATTTAGCTGTGATGGGTTCGTCGGTTTCTAATGGCTCACTAATGCCATACTGGTTTTCAGCCCTAACTCTAAAGCTGTATTTACGGTTTGGTTCAAGACCCATCACGTCATAATGGGTACTGCGAACAAAGCTGCTAGCCTTTACCCAAATACCGCTTGGTTCCAATTTCTCCACAATGTAATTGGTGATCGGAGAACCTCCGTCATCCAGAGGTGGCCTCCAAGCAAGCGAACAATTGTCTGGTGTGATGTCGGATACGTCAAGTGGACCTTGTGGTTTCTGTGGCTTATCGACGACCAAGACTCTGCATGAGGCAGAATCGGAACCGACTGAATTGGTAAGCTTGATGGTATAGCTTCCGCTGTCGGAGCGTTTGGCACTCTTGTTGCAATAAATCGATGCTATTTGCGTAGTTTCAAACTTGATTCTGTTATCCTGAATGACTTCATCTCCATTTATGGTCCAGCTCTCTTTAGGTTTGGGCGTGGCGACGTATGGCACGGTTATTTTGAATTCTTCTCCGGCAATCACAACCATGTCACGAATGCTCAAATCAGAAGTGATCCTCGGGGCACAAGGTGGTGCCCTGCATACGATTATATCAGATGCTGGACTCCATGGACCTTGGCCTGCGGCATTCACAGCAGCTACACGGAACTCATACTCGTGGTTTTCAATCAAATTGATAACTTTGTGGGATAAGTCAGGAATCAATGCATGAGCAGCCCTGGTCCATTTGTCTTCGGTGGTGAGGCGTTTTTCGATCACGTAACCCGTGATAGGAGAGCCTCCATCATGGCGAGGTTTGTTCCATTGGATAGTGATAGAATCTTCGGATGTTTCGATTCCTCTTGGAGAACCTGGTGCTCCAGGTACATCAAATGGATGGCGGGCACGAATCGGTTCCGCGGTGACAGCGGGCTCAGATTGGCCGTATTGATTTTCAGCGAATACTCTAAACTCGTAATCCTTACCCAATGTTAAATTGCGAATACGCAAGAAAGGTACGGTAACATAGCTGCTGACCTTGGTCCAGGTCGGTGATCTAGCTTCCTTTCTCTCAACAACGTAGTTGGTGATATCAGCTCCACCATTATCTTTAGGTGGTTGCCAGAATAAAGTCAAAGCATCACCGGCGAATTCATCAGCCCTAAGATTTTCAGGCTTTCCTGGCCTATCCAATACACGCACATTGATCGTAGCAGTATCGAAACCTGATGGATTCTTCAGTTGCAGCCTGTATTGTCCGCTATCGTTGCGCTTGGAATTCTTTACAATGACACTGGCGTAATCATCAGCCAACTGTGGGAATACCCTGCTGTCAGATTCATCCAGGATCTTGTCGTTTCCGAACCAAGTCGCAACAGGTTTCGGGAAACCAACGTATGGTACATGAATGCTGAAATCTTCACCAGCACGAACGGTGATATCACGTACACCGCCGAGATCCATGCATGGTTTATTTGGTTGTTCTTCGATCAGAATCATTTGGCTGGGTTTGCTCGGTTCAGATGGTCCTACTTCGTTGATAGCAATCACCCTGAATTGGTATTCTTCGCCCTCCTTCAAATTTGGTACGGTGTGCACGTTACCGGAAATTGGTATGGAATTGACGTCGGTCCAGTCAGTTTCGCCCTTTTGTTTCTTTTGCAGAATATAACCCTTGATCTTGGAGCCTCCATCGTTACGTGGTGGTCTCCAGCTGAGAGTAACACTATTCTTGGTAATGCGATCTGCCTTTGGTGGTTCTGGAGCATCAGGTTTAACTGAAACAATAAAAATATTATATATAGAAAAATTATTTTAGAAAAAAACAAAATATGATAAGAACATACATCTTTGGTGACCAGCAACAATAGGCTCAGTAGGTCTGCTTGGTTCTCCTGGACCAGCTTCGTTAACTGCGACAACACGGAACTCATATTTGTTTCCTTCACGCAAATCTTGTACGGTATAGCTGTTGTTTGGTGTAGGGTAATTGTTGACCTTGAGCCAATCTCCCCCGCGTTCGCGTTTTTCAATGTAATAACCAGAAATTGGTTTGCCACCAGTGACTGCTGGTGGGTTCCATTTGAGTGAGCAGCTGGAAGGAGTGTAGCCGACAACTTGGGGTTGGCTTGGTGGACCTGGTGGATCGAACGGACTCTTTGCGACGACAGGTTTTCCTTCAAGAGGCTCAGAAACGCCATAGATATTTTCGGCGCGAACACGGAAAACGTATTTCTTGCCCTCGGTCAGTCCGCGGACTGTAAAGGAAGTTCTTGGACAGAAGCCAGGGCATGGCCTCCAACTGTCTGTACCGAATTCGCTGACCTCTACGATGTAATTGGTAATATCGCCACCGCCATCGTCTTCTGGTGGATTCCAAGACAATGACACCGTCTCTTGAGTAGTTTCAGTGTATTGCAATGGACCCTTTGGAATTCCAGGTTTGTCAACAACGATAACTTCAATGTCACCGGAATCGGATCCGTACTCGTTTGTAGCTGTGACAGTATATTTGGCAGAATCATCACGGTTGGATGATTCTATGCGGAGACAAGTATGTTCGCTGTTAGTTTCAGTCTGTAATTAAGAACAAAAATTATAAAAATATTCAAAATATCTAAATTAAATAGTTATATTACATATACTCTGTTCGATTCCGGAATGACGATTGAACTCTTCTTCCATTCAACCTTTGGAATCGGAGCGCCAGACAATGGAATGTCAATTTTAACAGGTTCTCCAGCACGTACTTTAATTTTACGACCAATAATTCCATCCAACCACAACTTCGGTTTTTCTTTCATGGGTTTGGCAATGAAAGCATTTGAGGAGTCGCTTGGTTTTCCTGGTCCAGCTGCATTCACAGCAGATACTCTGTATTCGTAAGCATGTCCTTCTTGAACACGATCATCGTAGAATTCTTGCAAACGAACTGGTTCTTTATTGACCTTGATCCATCTGCCAGTAGCACGGTCACGTCTCTCGACATCATATCCCACAATAGGAGATCCTCCATTGCTGATCGGTGGAGTCCATTTGATCTTAATGTGATCCTTGTCGCTATCTACCAATTCGGGCTTTCCAGGTTTACCAGGAACATCGTATTGATTTTTAGCAACGACTGGCTTCTCAGTTTGCAATGGTTCTGAACGACCTTGCATGTTCTCAGCCAGAACCCTAAATTCATATTTGGTTCCTTCAAGTAATCTAGGTACAACAGCGTGGGTGTTTTTGGGATTCACGTAGTTAACAGCAGGTACCCAGCCACCACCGTGCGTAAGATCACGTTTCTCGATGACGTAACCGCTGAAATTTCAAATAATACAATAAATAATTAGATTACTATAATTGCAACACAATCAATTGTAAAGAAGTACGTACGTAATTTCACTACCACCATTATCTTTAGGTGGTTTCCAAGATAGTGTGACACTTTGAGCTGTAATTTCTTCGTATTCCAATGGTCCTTCTGGTGGAGCAGGACGGTCAAGGACGATGACTTGGAATGAGCCCTCGTCAATTCCACAACTGTTCTTCAAGAGAATATGGTACAAACCACTGTCAGTGCGTTTGGCATTGACAGTATGCACAATTGTATGATGACCGATGGATGTGACAGTGGTGCGTTCATCGGCAGCCAGTGGCTTATGGTTTACAGACCATTCTACCTCTGGTGTTGGTTCACCAACAAAGTCGATATCGATGTGAAGAATGAGGCCGGCCTTGATACGGATATCATTGAGCGGTGTCTTAATCTTTGGTGCCACTGTAATAAATGAGTTTAGATTAAATCGAATTACATTGTTATGATGTTTCTTACGGTATCTGGCCTTAGCAGTAACCATGTCAGATGGCTCAGATGGCTCACTGTTTCCGGCATTGTTGGTGGCGATAATTCTGAATTCATATTCTTGACCTTCAACTAAATCTGGTACTCTGGCATTGGTTTTGTTTGATGGTACGGTTGCGGCATTACTCCAGTATGGGCTTCCCTTCTCCTTCTTCTGGATGATATAACCAGTGACAGGAGAACCACCGTCGTTCTTAGGTGCAGACCATTCCAGGTCTACGCGATCCTTATCCCAATCAGTAACTTGTGGTTTTCCAGGAGCATCGGGTTCGTCAAACTCGTTCTTAGCAATAATGCTTCTTGGTAATTCCAATGCTTCGGATTCACCTACAGAGTTAACGGCTTTCACACGGAAGTAATACTCCTTCTTGTGGATTAATCTGGTAATTTCGTGATGGGTAAATGTAGACATGCCAGCATCAGACCAGGTTCCACGAGATACATCCATTTTTTCAATAATGTAATGAAGAATTGGAGAGCCTCCATCGTCTAATGGTATGCGCCAGCTAATACGAGCAGAGTCTTTGGTAACTCCATTTACTTCGAGAGGTGGCTGGGGTGGACTTGGACGGTCGATGACAAGTACGTTGGCTGATGCCGAGCATGTGCCCAGGTCGTTTGTCAATGTAAGGGTGTACCTTCCGGTATCTGATCTAAGTGAGAATGGAATTTCAAATGTGACCTTTGTCATGGACACGTACATGTCCATTCTGTCGGTCGAATGCAATTCCTTGCCATTAAGTACCCATTGTGCCTTCGGCTTGGGGGATGCCTCAATTGGAATTTCCCAAGCAATGCGGTTACCCGCCTTGACAACTAGATCTTCTAAAAGAGTCTTGTTGAAGTTCGGTGCCAAGAATCTTGGTTTGGCAATTACAGGAGCCGATGCTTCACTGGGCTCGCTGTGGCCTCCTTTGTTAACAGCGATAACTCTAAATTCGTATTCCTCGCCTTCGACAAGGTTTGGCACGGTGCCCTTGGTCTGACCGCCGGGAATTTCGCAAGCCTTTTCCCAGGTTCCATGTTTAGGTTTCTTTTCAATGATGTATGAGGAGATTGGAGCACCTCCATCCTTCTTTGGTGCAGTCCATTCAAGATCGACATGATCCTTGTCCCAATCGGTAGCCACGGGTTGTCCGGGCCTATCTGGTTTCGTGAACGGATCTTTAACGGTGATGCTCTCCGATGTGGTCAAAGGAAGAGAATCTCCTTGCTTGTTAACAGCTCGAACACGGAACTTGTAGTCATGACCTTCTGCAAGATGATCGACGCGCATCTGTGTACCAATAGAATCTCCAACTGGCACCCAACGGCCAGTTTCAGCATCTTGTTTCTCCACTGTATAATGACTGATTTCAGAACCACCATCGTCCTTCGGTGGTCGCCAGTGCAGTGTAACCGATGATTTGGTAACATTATCAGCTTTAAGAGGTCCTTCTGGTGGGGAAGGAATATCCAACACGGTTACATTAACAGTGTGAGAATCCCTGCCATTGATGTTCTTAACAGTCAGTTGGTAAGGACCACTGTCGGAACGTTTAGCATCGGTGATTCGTAACCTGGCCATGTAATCCTCATTGGTAATCTTAATACGATCAGTTGCAATGAGGAATGTTCCTTTGACTTCCCATTCCTTGCTTGGTGGTGGTTCACCAATAATTGGTACATTGAATTCGAAAGTCTGTCCTGCTTTGATTTTGATATCCAAGAACACGTTTCTGTCAATCTTAGGTGGCACTAAAATGAATGAATATTTATTTAATATTGGTTGTAATTCAATTATTGTCAATACTTACGATTTTTAGCTCTGGCCACGTGAATCTTGGAAGCATCGCTTGGCTCTCCTGGTCCAGCTTTGTTGATAGCACGAATACGGAATTCATATGGAGTTCCTTCGATCAGATCTTTCACTTTGCCAACAGAAACATCTCCTTCAACCTCGGCGCATTTTTCCCAATTAGGATTGAATTTATCGCGCTTCTCAATGACGTAGCCTGTAATTGGAGATCCGCCATCGCTCTCTGGTTTATCCCATTTGAGCTCAACAAAGTCCTTGTCGTAATCAATGATTTCAGGAACTCCCGGCTTTCCAGGTTCATCGAACGGATTCTTAGCTTCGATAGCTTGGGTGGTTGTCAATGGCTCAGATTTGCCCTGCTTGTTAACAGCAGAAACCCTGAATTTATATTTCTTTCCAGGTGTAAGACCATCCACATCCAGTGACGTGACAGGTCCTTCGGTTTCTCCTGCAGGAATCCACCTTCCGGTGGCCTCGTCCATCTTTTCAACAACATACTTTTCGACGGGTTGACCTCCATCGTCAGACGGTGGCCTCCAGTTGAGTTTGCATCCCTTCGCATGAACGTCGGATACTTTAAGGGGTCCATTTGGTGGGCTAGGTTTATCAAGAACAGTAACTTCAACTTCAGCGATATCCTTGCCGTTGATGTTCTCAGCGGTGATGGTGTAGGTTCCCGACTCGCCGCGAGTTGCATTACGTATATTAATCTTGGTAATATATTCACCATGCTGCACTTTGGTTCTGTTGTCATTCTTAACTTCTTTTCCCTTGAGCAACCATTTGGTTTCAGGCATAGGCTCACCGGTGACTTTAACATCAAAGTTGAAGTTTTGTCCAGCCCTGATTCGAACTTCGATAAGGTTTGTCCTATCGATCTTTGGTGCCAAATTGCGTGGCTTGGCAATGATTGTTGGTGTTTCATTACTAGCGTCACCTGGACCGGCAGCATTGACGGCACGCACACGGAATTGGTACGGTTGTCCTTCAGTTAAGTCAGGCACGGTCGCCTTTAATTGATCTCCGGGTACTTCCAAAGCCTTCTCCCAGTCGCCAAACTTATCCTTCTTTTCAATAATGTAACCGGTCACTGGAGAACCACCATCATCCTTTGGTGGAGTCCAGGCCAAGTCAACGTGATCCTTGTCCCAGTCAGTCGCCTTAAGGTGTCCAGGCGCTCCAGGTTCGTCGAATGGATTCTTAGCAACAATGGTTTCTTCAGCTTCTAGTGGTTTTGATTCACCTTCTGCATTTACTGCAGCCACTCTAAATTTGTACTCATGACCTGGACTAAGGCCAGTCACTTCCATTGATGGTTCTGTGGATCTTCCAGCAGGTACCCAGCATCCAGTTTCTGGGTCCATCTTCTCAACCTGGTAATATTCAATTGGAGTGCCACCGTCATCTTTCGGGCGTTTCCACTTCAATTTGCAACCATGCTTATTAACATCGGATATTTGCAAAGGTCCTTCAGGTGAAGTAGGTTTATCTGTTACAGTCACATTAATAGTGTGGGTATCCTTTCCAGAACTGTTCGTTGCGGTTACGTTGTACTCGCCAGTATTTTCTCGTTTAACAGGACGAATTACCAATTTAGTATTGTATTCTACATTTGTAATATCGATAGTCTTATCGCTTGTCATTCTAGATCCTTGGAATCTCCATTCTACAGTTGGAGCAGGTTCGCCTATAATATTGGCATCGAATTTGAGAGCAGATCCAGCAGAAATAGTAACATCATGAAGATGTCTTCTGTCGATGCGAGGTGCAAGGAATCTAGGCTTGGCAACGAATGTTTTGCCAGGTTCTGAAGGTTCACTTTGACCTGCCTTGTTGACAGCAATGACACGGAATTGATATTCATTGCCCTCAATAAGTCCGTTGATGGTAGCAGTTGGAGATGAGCTTGTGGTTTCCAAAGCCTTTTCCCACATTGGACTGTATTTATCCTTCCTTTCGATAATATATCCAGTGATCGGTGATCCTCCATCTGATGGTGGTTCGGCCCATTTAAGTTCAACATGGTTAGCAGACCAATCTTCTGGTTCTGGTGCACCTGGTTTACTCGGATTGGCTGCAAAGTGATTGAAATAAATGTATTTTGATGAATCGTGTATATAACCTTGAGTACTTACTGAATGGATCTCTGGCAATGATGCTGCCAAGAGTTTCGAGAGGTTCAGATTCACCCTCCTTGTTAAGAGCCTTGACACGGAATTTATATTCGTGACCAGGAATGAGACCATCTACGGCCAATTCTGGAGTGTTGCCAATAGTTTTTCCAGCAGGCAACCATAATCCAGTTTCTGGATCGAATTTCTCAACAACGTAACCTTCGATTGGCTCACCACCGTCATCCTTTGGTTTCTTCCATTTCAGTGTGCATCCATCCTTGTGGATATCCGACACCTCCAATGGTCCTTCGGGCTTTCCTGGCTTAGCTATGAAATTAACAAAAACATATAAGTGATAAACATTTGCTAAACAATTCGCAATTGTAAATTAACTTACAAATTATATTGATTTCAATTTCGGCGGTATCTTGACCATACTTATTCGTTGCTTGAATTTTATATACTCCACTGTCCTTCCTTTCAGGATTATCGTTGAAGAACTTGGAGTTATATGGGATATCGTCGATACGTACTCTAGGAGAGGCTATTGACTTATTATCAAGATACCACGACACTGTAGGTGCTGGCTCTCCGATAATCTTAACATCAATATAAATAGGTTCGCCTTCTCTGACAGTTAGATCACGCAGGTTCTTCCTATCAATCTTAGGAGCCACTATACAAAAAAATATTAAGTATACACTCCAATAATGTCATTTAAAATTAACTTACATCTGCGAGGCTTCGTCACTACAGATTTAGAGGCGTTGCTTGGTTCTCCAGGTCCAGCAGCATTTATTGCGCGAACTCGGAATTCATATTCAACACCTTCGTCTAAATTATCAGCAGTGCCTTTGGTGTCGTGTGGTCCAGTTTCTCCAGCTTTGGTCCAGCGTGGAGAACCCTTTTCCCTCTTCTCGATAACGTATCCTGTGATTGGAGACCCACCATCGTTAGCTGGTGGGGTCCATCTGAGATCAACATGATCCTTGTCCCAGTCGGTAACTTCCGGAGTTCCAGGAGCTCCAGGTTCGTCTGTAACAGAAGTAAATGTATAAACAACCATAAGTCTAATTAAGTATTATAACTTACCGAATGGATTTTTAGCAATGATACTTTGTTCGGCTTCGAGAGGTTCTGATTCTCCTTCAGCATTAACTGCTGCAACCCTGAATTTATATTCCTTTCCAGGTTCTAAGTTGTTCAGCTCGATTTTTGGTTCCTTCGAGCGACCGGCAGCGACCCAACGGCCTGTATCTGGATCCAGTTTTTCTACTGCGTAGAATTCAATAGGAACACCGCCATCATCCACTGGTGGATTCCATTTGAGTGTGCAACCTTCTTTGTGCACATCACTGATCTTAAGAGGACCTTCTGGTTTACTTGGTTTATCCAGTACTTTAATTTCAATGCTTGCTTCATCCTTGCCAGACGTGTTCTCAGCTTTGATAACCAATATACCAGTGTGAGAACGTTTAGCAGAGGTGATGACTAGTTTGGTTCTATAATCTTCTAATTCGATATTATAGTCATCACCCTTTTCAAGTCTAGCCTTGTTAAGGAACCAGGACTTCGTTGGTGGAGGTTCACCGGAGATCTTAACGTCGAGGCGAATTTGTTGACCAGCCTTGACTGTAAGGTCTCGCAACGTGCTGCGATCGATCTTGGGAGGTACAAATCTGTCTTTAGCAGTTATCGTTTCCGAAGGTGGAGATGGTTTACTCTCTCCTCCCTTATTGACTGCCTTCACACGGAATTGGTATTTCTGACCTTCGATAAGATCAGGTACTCGGGCATCAGTTTTGTTTCCAGGCACTTCCATAACCTTGATCCATTTGGTACCAGACGGATCCTTCTTTTCAACGATGTAACCAGTAATGGGTACGCCGCCATCGTCTTTGGGTGGAGTCCATTTAAGATCAGCATGATTGCGACTCCAGTCCTTGATTTCTGGTTTACCAGGTGCATCTGGTTCTTTGAATGGATTCTTGGCTGTTGTTGGAAGGTCTGTGACGAGAGGTTCAGATTCTCCTTCAGAGTTAACAGCTCTTACACGGAACTGGTAATCTTTTCCTTCAGTTAATCCAGTAACATCAGCTTCCGGAGTTTTAGTAGTGGTAACTGGTACCCATCTGCCGGTTTCAACGTCTTGTCTTTCCACAACATAACCGGAAATTGGCTCACCACCATCATCTTCTGGTGGTTCCCATTTAAGTTTACAGCCTTCGGCGGTAACGTCTGATACTTTGAGTGGTCCCTTTGGTTTGGTTGGTTTGCTAAGAACTTGGATGTCGACTTCTACTGTGTCAACACCACTATCGTTCTTAGCGGTAACGATATAAATACCGGTGTCGGAGCGTTTGCATTTTTGAAGAGTAAAGGATGTCTTATAGTCTTCGTTCTCGATCTTTAAACGGTCAGTGTTTCTCAGGAGTTGCTCTTTAAGAGTCCAAGTGACAACTGGTGCAGGTTCGCCAGTAACGTCGGCATCCATGCGAAGGAGTTGTCCAACCCTAAGTATCTTCTTTTGCAAATTCTTGCGGTCGATGCGTGGTGCAACTATAATAAAACAAATGTTTATTATTTCTTGTGGTTACTTGAAGATGGATAAACTTACGGAATCTCGGTTTTGCGATCACAGGTTTCGAAGGATCACTAGGCTCGCCAGGACCAGCCTTGTTAACAGCAACAATACGGAATTCGTATTCGTGTCCTTCTTCGACGGTTTCTACACGTCCAGTAGTTTTGTCTCCAGAAACTACCGCAGCATCGGTCCAGCCACGACCAGCCTTGTCGTGCATTTGAATGATGTACTTATCAATTGGAGCACCACCATCGCTTGCTGGTGGTTTCCAAGCCAATTCCACGAAATCTTTGTCCCAGTCCTTGAGGTCGGGGCGGCCAGGTTTGCCAGGTTCATCAAACGGATTCTTGGCAATAATCGTTTTCTCTGTTTCAAGAGGCTCAGATTCGCCTTCTTTGTTCACGGCCTTTACCCTGAACTTGTATGGTTTACCTTCCTGCAAACCGGTAATATTTGCTTCAGGTTCCGAGCTCTTAGCGCACGGAATCCAGCTACCGGTAATTGGATCAAGTTTTTCAATTTCATAGTAATCGATTGGAGTACCACCATCGTCTTCGGGTTTCTTCCATTTCAACTTGCATCCGTGTTTCGTCACATCGGAAACATCTAATGGACCCTTTGGTTTGCCTGGTTTACCCAGTACTGTAATTTGGATATCGGCAGTATCTTCACCGACCTCGTTCTTGGCGGTAATTGTGTATTTGCCACTGAGATTACGTTTTGCCTTCATGACGAAGAATTTCGTGTTATAATCAATGTTATCGATGCGAATAATTTCATCGGATGTAATTTCTTTGCCATCGCGGAACCATGTAATAACTGGTGCTGGTTCTCCAGCGACGTTTACGTCCAAGTGGATGGATAATCCAGTCTTGATTGTTAGAGCGTTCAAGTTTGTACGATCGATCAATGGTTTCACTAAAAAATATTCAATAAAAAATCAATATATAATAATTTCATATATGCTTACAGAATCGGGCCTTAGCGGTGTGCCAGTTGGTTTGTTCGGAAGGTTCAGATGGACCGGCTTTGTTTACTGCACGAATGCGGAATTTGTATTGGTTTCCTTCTTCCAGTTTCGGAACTGTTCCGGTGCAGGTAGGTCCGACTTCAGCAACCTTTACGAATTGACCAACAAATTTGTCCATAGCTTCAATGACGTAGCCAGTAATAGGAGCTCCACCATCGCGAACAGGTTTTTCCCATTTAAGTTTTACAGAGTGTTCATCCCAATCAACAATCTCCGGAAGACCTGGAGCTGCTGGGATATCGTATGGATTCTTTGCGGTAATGGCAGTATCTGTTTCAAGAGGTTCAGATTCGCCTTCCTCGTTGACGGCCTTTACACGGAAGTGGTATTTCTTGTTCGGTTCCAGACCTGTAAGTTCCAGATCCAGTTTGTCGGCATCTACAAAACCAGCAGGTACCCATCGGCCGCTACCGGCTTCCTGCTTCTCAACAGTATAGCCAGTAATCGGTAAGCCACCATCATCTTTAGGTTTGTTCCACTTAACCTTGCAACCTTCTTTGTGAACGTCGGTTACTTCCAATGGTCCCTCTGGTTTACCAGGTTTATCCAAGATGATTACCTCCACAGGAGCTTCATCGAATCCAGATTCGTTCTCGGCACGAATGGTGTAAGTGCCTGTATCCTTGCGAGTTGTGTCTGCGATCGCTAACTTAGTGTTATAGTCTTCGTTTTCAATCTTGGTATGTGTTGTACTTTCCAGAGGTTTGCCAGCGAAACTCCAGGTGATCTTTGGTGGAGGCTCACCGCGAACGTCAACATCGAATTTCACCAATTGTCCAGCGCGTACCTTGACGGTGTGCAACTTGTCCCTGTTGATGAGTGGTCTCAGATGTCTGGCCTTAGCCACATGCGGGTTGGTAGCATCAGACGGTTCACCAGGTCCTGCTTTGTTAACAGCTCTCACACGGAATTGGTAGGTGTTTCCTTCTTTCAGGCCAGGCACGGTCGCATCACAATCTGGAGTATTGGTGCTGTGAATTTCATCCCAAGATGTAGAAAATTTCTCTTTCTTCTCAATTACATAACCAGTAATAGGTGCACCGCCGGTACTCTTAGGAGCGGTCCATTTGAGGTCAACCCTATCGGCATCCCAGTCAACAATTTGTGGAGTACCAGGTTTGCCGGGAATATCGTAAGGATTCTTTGCGACAATAGAACCGTCGCTTTCCAAGGGCTCTGATTCGCCTTCATCGTTAATGGCCTTTACTCTGAACTGATATTCGTGTCCCTCTTGTAAACCTTTAACATCCATTTCTGTGTCGTTTGTTCTACCAACAGGGACCCATCGGCCTGTAGCTTTATCCAGTTTTTCAACGACGTATCCGGTAATTGGTTTACCGCCATCGTCTTCGGGTTTCTCCCATTTCAGCTTAGCGCCATTCTTTGTAACGTCGGCCACTTTGAGTGGACCCTTAGGTCTACCAGGTGATGATAAAACAGAGACCTCAACTTCGGCCTCATCTTGACCGTGCTCATTGACGGCTTTAATTTTGTACAAGCCCGTGTTCTTGCGGATCGAATTGGTAATCGTCAATTTGGTATTGTAATCAACATTGACAATTTCAACATTCTCCTGGGATAACACTTCTTTGTCATTTTGATACCAGGTTATAGTTGGTGGAGGTTCACCTCTCACATCAATATCATACTTAATGACTTTACCAGCACGTACAATAATTGGTTTAAGATTTGTGCGATCGATTCTTGGTTTAACTGTGGAACGAAATAAACAAAATTAAAATTAATACAAATATAACATAAGCATGCATGAACAGTAACTTACGTGATCTGTGCTTAATGATTTGCATGTTGGAAGCATCGGATGGTGATCCGGGGCCGGCTTTATTAACAGCGACAACACGGAATTGATATTCTCCACGTTCTTTGAGATCTTCAATTCTGGCTTCAAGACTATCACCGGAAACTTCTCCAGCTTTCTCCCAATCAGGCTTGTATTTGTCTTTCTTTTCAATAATGTATTTTTCAATTGGTGCACCACCGTCATTCTTAGGCTTAGCCCATTTGAGATTGACACCCTTGTTGTCGTAGTCAGTGATCTCTGGAGTACCAGGCTTGCCAGGTTCATCGAATGGATTTTTGGCAACTGTTCCTTGAAGGCTGGTCAATGGTTCGGAATCGCCCTCGTCATTTACAGCTGTTACACGGAACTTGTATTCTGATCCTGGATTAAGACCAGTTACTTCAAACTCCAATTCGTCTGGTTTATCACCCATTTTGTCAACGGGAACACGTCCACAGCGAACCCATTTACCGGTTGCCAAATCCATTTTTTCGATTTCGTATTCCTTGATGGGACAACCACCGTCATCTTCCGGTTTCTTCCAACCAACTTTGCATTTGTTGGCAGTAACATCGGAGACTTCTAAAGGACCCTTTGGTGATCCCGGTTTACCGAGCACTGTCAGCTCGACAGTAACTTCATCTTTGCCGTTAACGTTTTCGGCAATCAATGTATATTTGCCGGTATCTTTACGGACGGAATTTGTAAGAGTGAAATCGGTATGGTAATCAACATTCTCGATCTTAATACGATCACTGTTGGTTAAAGGTATTTCGTCTCTCCATACCCATTTAACAGTTGGCGCTGGTTCACCAGATATGTCCACAGACCATTTGTGTGTACGGCCTGCTTTAATAATGATCGACTTGAACATTTCGCGATCAATGCGAGGTTTGACTGTAAAATAAAAAAAACTATTAGGAAACAGCCCGAAATAATATATTGATCACTTACGGTTCTTGTGTTTGCACAAGTGATTGTCAGTAGCTTCTGATGGGGCACCTTTTCCTGCCTTGTTGTGGGCTCGTACACGGAATTGGTATACCATCTTCTCCTTCAATCCCTCAACTTTACCCTCGGGTTCTGGTCCTTCAGTAGTAGTAACTTCAATCCAATCAGGACTAAATTTGTCTTTCATTTCAATAGTGTAGTGAGAAATCGGGCGACCACCGTCGTTTTCTGGTTTCTCCCATTTCAGCGTAACACTCTTGTTGTCATAATCAACGATCTCCGGTTTACCCGGAGCTGGTGGTTCATCGTAGGGATTCTTGGCAGTAATCGCGTCTTCAGTTTCCAGGGGTTCGGACTCGCCTTCCTTGTTTTTGGCTCTAACACGGAACTTGTACTTCTTTTTGGGCGTCAATCCCTTGAATGTGAAGTTATCATCATTTGGTCCTACTTCGCCAGCCGGAATCCAGCGACCAGTATCCATATCCAATCTTTCCAGTACGTAACCGGTGATATCGCTACCACCATTGTCATCAGGTCTCTGCCATTTAACTTTAACGTGGTCGGATCTAACTTCCTCGATTTTAAGTGGTCCCTTTGGTGGTGTAGGTTTGTCAAGAACTACGACATCGGCGACACCTTCACAAGTACCTGAAGTGTTTGTCAGTCTCAAGGTATATTTACCGCTGTCGGCACGAGTAGTTCTGCGTACAGTGATAACTGTGTTCTTTTCGTATTTGTCTAAAGTAATACGTTCTTCAGCATCTTGCTTGATCTCCTTCTTTTCCAATAACCAAGTGACTTCTGGTTCAGGCTCACCGCCATATTTAATATCATACTTGATAACTTGTCCCTTTTTAACGATAATATTAATCAGATCATTACCGATAATGTAAGGCTTAACAAATCTGCACTTAGCGATGATTGGTTTAGTGGTGTCGCTAGGTTCACCAGGTCCAGCCTTGTTAACCGCACGAACTCTGAATTCGTATTGACCACCTTCCTTGAGACCTGGAACTGTTCCATTGAACATTTCTCCGGGTACTTCTACCCCTTTCTTCCATTCCTGGCCAAACTTGTCTTTGAATTCAATGATGTACCCGGTGATTGGAGCACCACCATCGTTATCAGGCTTGTTCCACTTGAGGTCCGCATGGTCCTTATCCCAATCCACAACCTCAACGTCCTTGGGTTTACTTGGTTCATCCCAGGGATCCTTGGCGAGAACGGGTTTACCGAAAGTGGCTGGTTCTCCGGCGCCGAGCTTATTTACCGCACGAATACGGAATTTGTACTGCTTCTTGTGAATGAGTCCTTCTACTTTGTATGTTGTAGCTTGACCAGCTGGAACTTCTCCAACGTTATCCCAACCAGCTTTCAGACTGAGGTCCTGTCTTTCTACGATATAGTGAGCAATTGGAGCACCACCATCGTCGACGGGCTTCTTCCATGATACTTGGCAGGAGGTTTGGAATATATCAAATACGTTAACTTCTTCTGGTGGAGCGGGCGTAGTCTGCATGATGATATTGACATCCTTAACATCTTCTCCTTGTCCATTGGACAGTTTGATTTGATACATTCCAGATTGTTCGCGAGCAGGCTTCTTGAATTTATAAGTGACCTTGTTCTCACCAATCACGACGTCCACTTCCTTAAGCGGAAGAATTTTGCCATCCTTGATGATCTTGGCTTCGACTGGCGTTTGCCGGGTGCCATCAACTAGAACACAAAGAGATACAATTAATTATCAATAATTCCCTAATAGACGATGGTAACTTTACTTGTGTATGGGACATCCATAAGAATCATAGAGCTAGCCGAAGCTTCGAACGTCGTAGGGAAATCGATTGTGGGTTTGCTCTCACCCTTCTTAACGGACAGTTTCATGGAAGACTGCATTTTACCAGATTCACACATAATTTCGCCATCGTCTTCCATCTCAAGTTTATTAAAGACGAGCTGGTGCTTACCACCGCCCAAGTTCTTAATTTCAATTCTTTCAGAGGGTACGATAGGTTTGCCATTGAAAGTCCATTCCGCTGGAGCGGTTTGATCTTGCAGTTCAACTTCCAGGATGAGCTTCTCGCGCTCAATGGCGTCAGTATCTTTCAGTTTTTTGTTGAACCTGTTCAGATAGTTGATAACAATTTCAGCTTCTGTCTTGTCAGCGTTGCTGACGCAAGAATACATTCCAGCGTCGGTAACTTTAGCATCCTTGACAACCAGCTTACGTTTACGTCCATCCTTGGTAACTACCAGACGTTTATCGCCGGTGATTTCTTGTGTTCCTTTGAACCACTTGACATCGCCAGAGGCATCATCCAATTCGCACACTAATGTAATGTTTTCCTTCTCAACGAGCTGTTGATGTTTCAGTACTTTTACGAACTTGTAAGGATATTCGACGATGGTGACTTGAGTCACGGTTCTATTATTTTCAGTTTGCTTCTCGAGTTTACAAGAGTATTCGGTGCTATCCTCGATCTCGCATTCTTTGATGGTTAATTTGCAAACACCGGACAAATCCTTTGAGATAGAATATTTGTTGCCGTCTTCCAATTTGACTGTACCTTTGTACCAGCCGACAATCGCCATGTTGGAGCTGACATGGCACTCCAATATAGTTTCGTGCTTGGTGTAACCATCGTACTTCTTCTTCAATTGCTTGGTGAACGTGTATATTGGATCAGGTTCGTCGACGTTCAGATAACCTATACTGGAAACACCTCCAATTTCAATGGTGTATTTGCCAGTATCATCCACTTTGGGATTCATGATAACCAATTGATAAGTGTCATTTTCGTTCTTGAACTTGTACTTAGAGCCAGGGAATAGTTCCTGAAATCGAAGATTGCATTAGAAATATTGTGGTACATGCAATCACATTTACATACATCTTTCCTGAACATCCATTTGGGTTTGCAGTTTGGTTTGGAGAATGCCGCTTCGAAAACGACCTTCTTGTCTTTTCCTTCCTTGGCGAATTGATCGATAAGTGGTTTCAAGAATGTTTCCTTTTTCTGTAAACGTACAAAATGCACATTATTGACAGTTCTAAATAGCACATTTTTATATGTAAACGTAAAAAGATGAATGCTGAAAATCAAAATAGTCGTTCAGCATCCAAACCGGAAAATCTAAAAATATGTTGAAAAAATCACTGTAAAAATGTTCTTCCAAAAAGAATAAAAAAGAAAATATTAAAAAAAAACATAATATCAAGAAAACTACGTGTGTATTTCTGCATGCAGACGTATCCAAATATGCCGACAACATCCATTTTGGAGAATTAAATTTGTGACACTAAAATTAAGTAAGCAGGGAGTAATGTACAGCGGTTCCAAGATTGTTTTTTTGTGGTGACAGATCGTGCACAAAAGAAGTATTGATACAAAGAAGTGTTGTGCGGTAACATCCAACCTCCGTTTTTGTAAAATGGTGTAAAACAGGCCAATCTGGTATTAAGTCAGCTAATGATGGCCTTCGGGAAGACGTCGGTGTCTACAAAACAGAAACTAAAACTCAGGAATCTGAAGTGTATCTGAAACAGTGTCATTCCACCCTTCACTCATTCGCAAAAAGAAAGGAGAAAATAGAAATTAAGAGATGGCGAGAGCGAAAGTGGAAGAGCTGCATGCAAAGTGTAAGATGATTGCTAGTAGAAGCAAATTCAACCAAATAATAATAAGAGAAAGCAAAACGAAAAACAAAGAACGAAAATAAAGAAGTATATATCAAGAAAAATGAAATAGAAAATATTGCGTGAAAGACAATTTTTTATTAGATGTAATCCAATACTGGTTTTATACTGAAATAATGTATATTTAGATACATTATCTCATATCCTTTTAATTAATTTAATAGATAAAACTGATATGTAACAAGTACAAAAATTGTCATCACAACAACAACATTAGTTGCGATATTATTAATATATTTTGTTTTGTATATATTTATATATATATATTGTTATTGCATTTAAAAACTCTGCAACGCAAAGATTCATAGCCATCTTAGTGCCAACCTTAGGATGCTCTGTTTGTAGAAGATTCGGCCAATCAGTTATGACTTCATCCAATGAAGGCCTTCGTTGTATGTTAAATACTTCCTAAAAAGCAGGACAACCTAAGCTTCTATATATTTTTGAAGATTAATGATAGAATAGAAAGAGAGTAGAATTAAAAAGGAAAATTAGTGAAAGAATTTTTGCTTTTCGTTCTAATTGATTAATTCTACATTTTGTTAGTCCGAAATCCATAAATTTTGAGTGATATAAGGATGAGTCTCCAAAGAGTTACAATAATAAGCTTGCAAGCATTTCAGCGCACATCTCACATCTAATCAAAGTATGAACAATTTTGTAGATTCATGCTGTCATAAGAACCTCGCGCGTTTTTAGCCTTGGCCAATCTGCTATAGCACCAGCTAAGCTGAACTTTCTAACCCACGTGCCATTTTGTCTCTGCAAGAATAATAAGCAAATCACCCTTCATGTGTTTTATCCAACAATTTATACCGTATTTCAATGTAGTCGAAGATATGCGTGAAGCATATAAACAGAACAACATTGTACGTGAGTATGTATCTATGTGAGTGTATGAGCGTGTGTAAGAGAGACAGAAATAGAGACAGAAAGAGAGAAGCACTCATTTACTCCAACAATTTCACTAAAGACATAATCACAAAACTAAAAATATACATAATTAAGTAACGAGACAGAAAATAAAAACAAAACCAAAAAAATGACAAAATACCCCTCTGGCGGCGACACTAAACAGCCCTAAAGTAAAATAAATAAAAAAAAAGTTGTATTCAAAATAAACAATGCCCAAAACTTGTTAAATGGAGACGCATCGTTATATTAACAATTTCGATTCGAGAGTAATTTTCTTTCTTGCTTTCTTTTGGAAACGTGTAGGATATTTATTTGGATTGGATGTGGTTGTCCAACCTTTAACCAAGTCCAATTTAGGTTGCCCCCTTTATCGGCGCGCACCTCGGTGACAACATTCCCATCGACCATAACACAAATTTTATCCTCGTCTATGAACCATCCGGATAAAACCATATGGTGCCCTTTATCAGGCTATAAATGGCAAAAAATACATCACTTAAACTAGGTCCCCATAAAATGAGGTAAAACATGTTCAAATGGCCATTAAAAAAATTAAAAGAAAAAAATTAACGAAATTATAAAATAAATTTAGAGTTTAGGAATGTTTTTTTGAAGAAACGAGCACGATATTTATTGGTAAAGAATAATTGCTTAGAAAACCTGACCTGTTCGACTTTCTTGAGCTGAGGCATCGGTTTTTCCACCTCCTTCAGGTCACCCCAATCTGGGTCGTCCTTCTTCTCGCCCCATTTGGCGTATTTCCTCTTCTTGAGCATAGCGCGGAAGTCCATTCCGCTAGCATCTATTATAATGCAATCAATCAATATTTGTTGATTATATGAGATTATATTTCATGCTTACCAGATACATAGAGCATCATCTCAGCAGAATCTTCACCGTGGATATTGCTCACAATAATCTTATATTGACCCTCATCGTTGGGTTTAACTTTGCGGATGCAGAGTGTGATCATATTGCTATCGCTCTCAGTGATGTACTTGAAACGACCTCCTTCGATGATTTCAGTGACACCCTGAAAAGAGGTATTAGTATATTTAGAACTAGTAAATGATTATAATAATGATCTATTACCTTATAGAATTTGAATGTTGGTGGCGGATTACCCTCGACTTGCACACCGATGTAACCATTTTGGTCTGAGACATAGTAAATATACGATTGAGAAAAATATTTGTAATATGACTCATGATGTTGTTACCTTCAACAGCAGAATAACTTTCCTGTACATCAACAATGCTTGGCGGTCCGCCGGATCCGGATGGACGCAGAGGTGTCGAGACTTTATTAATAAAGTCCTCCATATCGGCGATGCTTGGTCTGCGGACGTCAGAACTGGGACGACGACGCTAATTAAAAATAATTCATTAAATCACCTGCTCGCCCGTTCTTTTGGCAAATACTTTTAATTAATTAATGCAATTTTGTACCTCGGTATTACTCATTAACGGTTAGCTTGAAATAACATTATTTATTAGGGTTTACAAGCTGCAGCATTAGCGAATTATTATTACGTAAACGTACGAGTGTGTACATGTACTCGAGATCAAAACTGTCGTTTTCGGTTTTTTGATAGATCTCTGCGTTCGATTAAAACACGGCGAAGAAAATCTCATCATACAATTAAACAAAAACAACAAAAAAATAAACATAGAAACAAAAGTTTGATTAGCTGATACACAAATAATAAGTCTAAAAAAAAAAGATTGAAGAAGAAAAACAGAAATTGGGCTCTTGTCTATATTCGTTGGAAACGAATTCTCTGTTTTAATTTCGTCGTTAGACACTATCTAATTCTATACAAATATTATTTACAGTTGTGACATATAATAAGTTAAATCAAAAAAATACGATAATAATTATTTATTATCAATGAACCAATTTCCAAAATTGGTCACTTGAAGATTCTAAAAAGAAAATCTCAAATAGTTAGACACAGACATGTATTTTTTTTATTGACTGATTCGAAATCGCTATTTCCTACTTTATGCCTGTTTCTAACCTGCTTTTCGTTCGGGCCTTGCAATTCTCCCGGTCTTCTGCCTTTTGTCTTTAAACGATAAGAATTACAATTACAGAGAGACAGATTACTATTAATAATGTTATGTGGTTTTATATGATAAAGTAGATCAACCCAAATTCAAATACAAAATCCAATCAAAAGAAAAAAGAGTATATTAAAGATCAGGCCAAATTTGTGTTCGTTTACACAAATCTCACCTTTGTATCGAGTACTTCACCAGGTCTCAATTTTCCACCCTGCGAGCAATAATGCAACATTTAACAACATGATATACGATATTTAAGAGCACATACTCGTGGTGGAACCACAAAATTATATTTATTATCTGCACGGCCGCCTGGAGCTGGAGCTAAATAATGCGTGTTAAAGTTCTAGGTTTGTGTAATGCTATGTGTATTTTTCGTAAATTATTTGCACGGATTTATATTTTGATACTTATGAAAAATAATTCATCTGAATTTTAACGAATCCCTGCAAATAATTTCCTGCACGACGAAATTTCGTATTTCGAGTATTCTTCGAGCTACAAAATCGCGTGCTTTTAGGTGTCAGTCGTGTAAAGATAATAAGCACAATACATATATTTATATTGACATGGATCGAAGAAATGATGCAAGGCGAGTACTTTGAAGACCCCTTGGGTTCCATTACCTTTTTCTCGTCGAGGACTTCTCCTGGTCGGAGTTTCCTATTTTCCTATATTGGACATACAAATATTAATAAAACAAATATTTTGAACCAAACAACAACGGACGGATCACGAACGAACCACGAAACGTGTAATATTCTGAAAGTGTGTAAAAATGTTTGCATTTAGAAATGGTAAGTGCGTGCATACCTCGTCTGTGATGATGAGAGAGGCTCTACGTCCCATATCCTCCGGTGGGATAAGGGAGCCTCGTCGGCTTGATGCACCCGATCCAGGCGCCAAAGAAGCCTTCCTCGGTTCCGGTGTCTTCTCCTTGACTACTTCGATCTTAGGTGCTTCTGGTTTCTTAACTTCGATCACTGGCTTCTTAACTTCGGGCAGCGCAGGTTTGTCCTAAACGGAACATCATTACAGTGATGAATCAAAGAGAGCTTTGATGATACTCAAACAGCGGAATATTCAAAGGCTGAAAATATTTGATGAAGCTGCCAAGACGTTACTGAGTGTTCATTTATAAAGCATCAATTATAAATATTTTTATGCAGATTATATCTATAGAGGCTAAGAATATGCTGGCCAATTTATTTTGCGCCAAGCTCACCTTGACGAGTTTAGTTTTATCTCGGCCACCGTACTCGTATTCAGGTCCCTTTTCATATTTCTCTAGTACAGGTCTATCGTAATCTGGAATTACTGGCAAATCGAAGACCTTCTCTTTCTCCTCTTTCTTAACGACCTTCTTCTTTTCGACTTCTTTCGTTTTCTCCGTCGCCTTCTAAACATATCCACCAAAAAAGAATTCTTTATTAACGAATCAAAGCGAAGAAGCATTGTGATACTGTGTTGACTAGTATAGACTGCAGTATTTTTTTGCAAAGGCAACATCAAGCTAACATTTAGAGAAGGCGATATAACATTGCACCAGCGAACGGAAGATCATACATATAGAAGAAATATATATATACAAAGAGAGACACATATATAAGAAACATATATAAAGATAGATAGATAGACAGATAGAAAGAGACACATATAGATAGAAGATAGTTGAACAATAGTAGTAAAGAAGAAATTGAAAGGAGATATAATACAGCGTGAGACGCAGCTCCAATTAGTTTACCTTCAGATCATGATCTAGACTAGCCTGTTCTGCCTGTTTTGCATCTCGAACTACAGGTTTCAGTTGAACGTTTATAAACGATTCAAGTTTTGTAGATTTCGGTGGAATCCGAGTCTTCGATTGCTATATAAATATTGCAATTTACGTTATGTGCGTCTGATTAAATTAATAAAAATCTGAACGATAGGTTCATCCACAAAAAAATATAGAGACTTAAAAAAATAAGAATCCAGAATAGAAATATCTCTTGCAGAAAAATAACACAAAAATAATACAAAAGAGAAAAGTGGACGAGCAAAATAGAAAAACAATTGCTGCGATAAAAATAACCAACTAAAAGTCGTGTAATGTGAAGATGTATGTAGTATGTACGAAAAATAAACGTAACTTACCAATTTCACTTTCTCGTTGGTCATCTTCTCTTCGGTCTATTGGACAGCACAGAAGGGACGGTTCATGAAACACATACATAGATACACATTAAGATGAAGAAAATAATTGGAACACACGAGATATTGTGAATTGTGACAGGAACAAATCTAGAGGACGTTTAGTATAGGAATGAAAAGTTACTTAATATTCAATCGTGAAAATCAGTGCAGCTTATATAGATTCGTTGTGCGAATCTTAGCAATTACCACAGTTAATTCAGGTATGTTGATTTTTGGAATCTCTGGATCTGGTATGAACACCATTGGATCGTATCTTAGAACCTTTATGGCGGGTGTAAAATGTACCGAATGAAACAGAATAAAGTAATAGTATGAGTGCTGAGTAGGGTATGAAATATAGTGTTATTTCGTAAAGTGCAATGTTTTCCAATTATTTGCGTTCAACAATATTGGTGAACTTTGCTTAGAAGTAGGTCAAGTTATGTATATTATGTTGTGTACCTTAACAGATAATTTTCGACCTGTCTTTGTTGTTTCTTCGGGTTCAATAATCTCCGGTGCTTTCTTCGGTTCTTTAATCTCCGGTGTTTTCTTTATGTCAGGTGTTTCTAATTTTGTTGCCGGTTCAACCTTTGCAACTGGTTCCACCTTCTTATCAGGTTCAGCAGCCTTCTGTGGCTCGACCTTCTTTTCAGGCTTCACCGCCGTCTTTTTCTCGTCCTCCGAAGCTTTAGCGAATTTGGATTCAATGTCATTTGTTGGTGTCGTGGGTGTTTTCTGAATATGCAAAACATTACAACATTTTACAGATGTTCGTGTACTTTGTGTTATATAATTGAGATGTGCAATAAGGTATTCCGAATTGAAAACATTTCAGACATCTATGGATAGAATGTATACTTACGGTTTCCGGTGTCGACTCTAACTTTTCTCCCTTGGATTTGATGACCTAATGAATGTTTACAAATGATCAGTATTATATAATTGTGTGATTTGCATTTTATGTAGAAGTCGTATTTTTTTTTTCGAATAATTTTCTCATTGTGGAAGCAACGCATTTTCTATTTACCTTCTTCTTTTTCTTTTCTTCGACAATGGACGAGCGTCTAGATTCGGAAATTGTTTCTTCCTCCTAAATAATATTTCATTAGAACAATTCCAGAAATTTAAAGGATAATGAACAATAACAACAACCTGTTGGATCGAAGACCTTCTACTGGCTGACCTTGATTCACCATCCTGAATGATAGTTTCCTCCGTTTTGATAACGGAACTCCTTCTGGATTCAATTTTCTGTTCGACCTATTTGTTTTTTTTTGTGTGTTTTCATGTGACATACAATTATTAGTATAAACATAGAAAACATACTTTACAGATTCTTACCTTTTGAACTGAAGACCTTCTTTCTGCTTTCTTTTCAACGATCTCCTGAAATTTACATTTATAGGAATGTACAACAACAATAAATATATATTACCTCTTTCTTTTCGACCTTCTTTTTGGCTACGTCGTTAACCTTCTTTTCTTCTTCCTTTTTCTTTAAAACAATCACAAATATAGACGTTTCATATCAACATATATAACAAACAAAACCTACCTTTTCTTCGACCTTCTTTTTCTCCTCAACCTTCTTCTTTTCCTCGACCTTTTTCTTTTCTTCGACCTTCTTCTTTTCTTCGATCTAAAATACACGTATAAACAGACAAACATAAAGGGGGACAAGAAAAAATAAATACCTTTTCTTCCTCTTTCTCCTCCTCCTTCTTTTCGGAAACTGTCAGGATGGCAGTCGATTCGTCCTCGCCAAATTCGTTCTTGGCGACGATTTTGTAAGTACCGGCATGTGAAACTTTGCATTTGCTGATACTCAGACGAGCAACGGAACCATCGAATGTGATCTTGATGTCAGTAGATTCTTTGATTATGGTTGTGTTCTTATACCAGGTGATGATGACAGTTGTTTCGGATACTTTAAGGCTTGAAATAAAGTCGCAAGATTTGCCTTCTTCAATGGACTAGACAGAAAATTAAAATTATTAATTATCATCACACTTCGATAAAAACAATCATGCACTTACGACATTGGTGAGTTTTGTGATCTTTGGTTTTTCACCCTTCGGCTTCTCCTCCGGTGGAAGATCAGTTACTTCCACATTTTGCGAGGTAGCTTCTCCCTTCTCGTTGCGCGCAACCAATTTGTATGAACCTTTGTCTTTAGATTCGACTTCGGATATTTCCAGTTTGATTGCAAACTCGCCCTGTCAAGACAATAATAAATATCGATCTATGGAAATAGAACAATAACAAAATAACTTACATCTTTGACTTGTTCAATGCGCACTTTGTGCCGCGCGCCTTCCTTGATTGCTGTCGATTCCTTGAACCATGTGCATTCTGGTTCGAATTTGCTGAGAACCTTGCACTCAACGATAACTGTGCGCTTTTTGACAATCTTAATCACCTTTGGTTTCTCCTTAATCACTGGGATAATTTCGATGTTGAGTGTAAGATTGGCGTTCAATTCGCCCAAATCGTTTTTGATGTTGCATTTGTAAAGACCTGAGTCCTCGGTGCCTGGATCCTTAAGTTCCAATTTGATGTAGTAGATATCTTCGCTAACTTTTTCGAAGCTAATCTTAATTTTGCTTGATTCTGAAACGACTTTGCCTTCGCGGTACCACACGATTGTCGGCTTAGGGTTAGCACGAACTTTGCAGTCCATGATCACCAATTTTCCGCCTTGGTGCGAGGTGATACGTGGCTTCTCCACAAACGTAGGTCCATCGCCCTCTGGTTCCGGTTCAGCCTCAATGTTCAAGTTAAGATTTGCGTTGCTTTCGCCAAATTCGTTTTGTACGTGACACCTGTAGGTGCCGCCGTCGGGTCCCGAGGGATCCTGCAAAAATATTTTTAATATTTCTTTTCCCATCGGATAATTTCAATCCTCATACCTTGATTTCGAGTGATAGTTCGTAAATTTCCTCCTCTTTGTCGACTACTGTCATCTTAATCTTCGATGATTCCTTCACGGCGGTAGTTCCCCTAAACCAGGTGACTTCTGGTTTTGGCTTGGCTTTACACTTGCATTTCATGGTTATAAGGGTACCTGTGTCATTAGGTATGATTTTCGGTTTCTCAATGAACGAAGGTGCATATCCAGCTGCGTTGTCTCCGCCTAGAAAGATAAAGTATGGATGAGCGGAAGGCATGAGCAGGCGCTTCTGCTACTGCGATTAGGCCATGCTCGTGCAAGTTATTACGGTCCACAATCCACTCGATTCGGAACCTGAAATACTCTTAAAATATTTATGGGAATACCTTGGAAATTAAGCGATATGTTTGCATTGCTTTCGCCGAAGTTATTGAACGCGTTACAGCGATAATTGCCGCCGTCTTCGCGAGTTGGATTCGATATCTCAAGCGTAAGCATGTAGTTATCTTTGCCGATGGCCTTCCTCAACATGCGTACGCGCGAATTGTCAGCAATTGCTTTGGTCCCTTGGAACCATGTGATATCTGGTGCGGGATTCGCCTCCAGCATGCATTCCATAACAAGGATGTCGCCTTCTTGACGGATTGTCGGTTTCTTCGGGAACCTCGGTGCTTTTCCATCAGGAATCCTATTAAATAAATGGTCGTGATATAATCAATCTTTGCATTTCTACCATCAAAGTAATGTGCGTACTTTGGTTTACCGTCTCCTTCGAAGTTCAGATTAATGGTGGCAGTGCCGACACCATACTTGTTCTTTGCTACGGCTCTATATTCGCCTTTGTCTCCATTCTCTACATTATCGATCTCCAACCTGGCCAGATAGTACAGTTTTTGATCCATCACCATCGACATCGAGTATCGTCCGCCGGCGCTCAGCTCACTGTTACCATGGAACCTGGAAGGTTTACAAGATGTTCACCATTGAGTATTCATTCATCAAGCAGTATCGTGCATACGCACCATTGGAGTACCGGTGTTGGATCACCGACGCATCTGCACTCGAATGTGATTTTGTTTCCATCGTCGCTCTGTCGGATGACCGGCCTCTCGGTGAAGGTGGGCTTGATGCCATCATCTGGGACTGGAGCCTCATCGCCTAGTGCAGAAACTAGGCTAAAGCGGCTATCAGGCTGAGGGTCATAGCCAACAGCAAACACTCGTACAAATACAACAATGGTCACGATTTATCAAATAATCAATAATCAGTGGATAGCTGCCAGGAAACAGGGGTTGCCGATTGGTTGTTTGATAAACCTCAAGAAAGCTCAGCTTTTAATGATCGCCCTAACAGTGTTAAGAGAGAAGAGTCAATTGTGGGGGAGGTCATAAAACAAGTATGGCGCTGAAAATAGAACGGTCACAAATTGCAAGAACATGGCCACATACAAATAGTAAGAGAAAAAAAATAGAGAATGGTGATCATGAAAATCATAAAGACTGCGAGTTTGTCCTCGGATTGTGCTAAAAGTCCGTACTGCAGAGACTGTGTACTACTCTATTCATAAAATATACACAACATTTGCAATTTACACTTTTATTAATAGTCGGGATGTTAACAACTGCAAAAATTAAAAGCTGAGCTATTAGGCGTCGGTTAGTTCCATTGTACTGTGCACGAGTGCTGACTGGTACTGACTAGAGCAACTTTCAACAACTAATTCCATCATATGATTGTTGTATGGTATCAAATGTAAGTACACGTATGCCTAAGTGAGAACAAAGGTATGCATGATCATCTAATAGGATGTATGCATGAGTGTGTATGTGGTCGTAAATATATATATGTGTGTAATTGTAAGCGTTGGTGTATGTTCGTGTCAGAGTGTATGTACGTGTAGCTAAGGGTACTAAAACCACGACCTCGGGGTCGAGCCCTATTTAGAAGCGTCTGCAAATTTAGTTAATCACTCTAAACAAGAGAAAACAGTATTAAGCCAACTAACTTCTTCTTGAGTTCTGTTTGTGCGTGTACAAATATACCTACACTAACATATGAATATACAATATTTAACGCTGCACTTACTGTCGAAATTCAAACTGATGGTTGCGTTACTTTCTCCCAACTCGTTCTTTGCAGTGACCTTGTATTTGCCAGCATCCTCAACTGTGACATTTTGAATTTCAAGGGTTGCAAAATACGAATGTCCATCTTTATCGATCCTCAGCTGAAAAGGAATTTAAAATTTCCAATGTAGACGAGAAAACTATCGACAATATAATCGATCTGACGTTAAGAAAATATTTTTTTTATTTTAATTATCATTTATCCACTGCCCAGTGTAAGATACTAGTGGAAAGAAACAATAATTTTTCATTAATCCAGATATTGTGCACTATCGCAAGCAGGTGTTGCTTGTATAGTCCAAAAATAAATACAGATTTTAGCTGCCAGCAAGCACTTAGAATGCTGTGAAAATAGTCTCTTTAATAAATATTTTCCTGCCCTAGATACGAAGCAGTTGTAATACCTTGTGACGTGGAGACTCTGATACGGGATTGGTGTTGTGAAACCAATTGACTACAGGGCGGGGATCCGCTTGGATTCTGCACTCGAAGAGTAGCCTCTTGCCATCTTCTTCCTGGCGGATGGCTGGTTTTTTCGCAAAAGTAGGGGCGATGCCATCAATTTGTCTATAATAGCAATCATAATTCTAGAATATTTGACAAAAAAATCGATTGGCATGTCGATACAACTAAGTGGAAGATGACTCAGTTGCGAAAATACAGACATGAAAAATAGCTTAAATCGAGCGCAAAAGACACGCAAAAAATAAAACAAAAAAAATGAAATGCTGGGAAATATGACCCATGACGTAAGTTACGTGGCCAAACAAGTTGACTAAGTGTGGATGCCAAAATTTGGCATAACGTTATTCAATGCGTAGGTTGAACAGTTTCTTTCTACATACTTATATATATTTATATACATATATATATCTATAGATAGAGATATAGATGTATATATAGATAGATATATATGTGTGTGTGTGTATCAACTTACTTTTCTCGCGGTTCGTCCATAGCTGCAAAGAAAAATACAAATCAGTAAAATATTTCAGCAATAAAGAGCGCTATGATTATTTGAAAAGCATACAAAAGTAGGTCAAGACCTATATTATTCTGATTGCAAAATCTTGTGTAGCGAAATCCAAAGTATTTTAAGATGATTGTTTATGATATTTGGTACTTACGACTGAAATTTAGATTGATGGATGCCGATACTTCGCCCATCTTGTTCTTTGCTTTGACCTTGTACAGACCGGCATCGGTTTCAATAACATCGTCCAATTCCAAGACCACCAGGAACTTGTTAGTGCCGATCGACTGGATCTTAAAGTTAGTCCTGCCATCTTCGGCAAGTAGCGTATCACTCCTATACCATTGAATATCTGGTTTTGGCGATGACAATAGTTGACACTCAAAAATCAGGCGATTGCCATCATCCTCTTGCCGCAATTGCGGTTTCTGGGTGAAGCTGGGAGCGAAATCCTCTGCCACTCCCATGCTTTATTTCTTATTCTTATACCGATAACATGGACATTAACTCCGTCCTAGAATTTCCAAAGGAATTTTGTCATAAACAAATCATGTAATGTAAAATGTGTATAATATTTATGTGAGGAAGATGGAACCCTCGGCTACCAACAACTGTTACGGTGTACTACTGCAGAGTGAATGGCAGATTGGATGAGCAGAGGTACAGTTCTGATGTTCAAAAACATCAATGAAATGATAAGAAAACCGTAAACGAAGTTAGTAGCGGGTATTATCCTCGGTATTATCCTGAATTTGCACTTCACCTATGTGAGCACTGGCGCGCACAAGCAACTTAAGCCTTTTGATGACTTACTTCTTGTAAGAGAACGCTCCTTTGGAACTTCACTTTTCACTTCACCGATAATGCGTATTCGCGAATACACTTAGGGCCGTCCCGTCGCACAGACGCGTCGTCGAGTCGTTCGTCGTATCCTAGAAGTTGCTTCGTAGCCTCCCAAAGCACTGACTATAGTCAATCCCACATCCAAGATCTAAAGCAAAGCTCGGTAAAGCCCCCACCATCTCCAAATGGACCTCAGACGCCTGATCCCCACCCGTAGAAAATTCACTGGCGTCGCGACGCCTATTTCACATCAAAAGGGTGACGCCTCCGCGTATGACCATTTGTTGTTTTACATTTTTTCAGAAGAAAAAAATCAAATGAAATACTACCATTGCACATCCACGCAACTTAGCTCTCATCCCCTTAGAACCATTTCCTTGAAAAACTGCTGGAAGCAGAATCCCTGTAATAATTATGAGCACTTGTTGCACGTGCTCTTTGGATAATACCAATCAGTAAGGCTGTAACGTCTCAGGTCATCTTCATTAATGATAATAACGACTTTGAGATATGATTTTGCAATTAATCGACTTATTAAATCACTTTCCAAAAATATATCAATAGTAATAGACATCCACGACTATATTCCTATACTATTTTTGGGATTAGTCTCATCAACATCACGACTAATGACTAATCAGATAATATGCTATAAATTGTCCTTGTTATTAATGAATGGGAAGCTGTGCCAATCAAAGCAGAGAAGTACAACTTTTGGCATCGCGAATTGCCGATTGCAGTGGTGCGTCGTATACAACGATATCCAATAATTGCTCAACCATTGTTGTTGACGCTTTTGTTTTTCTTTTTCTGAAATATAGCGACCTTCGAAATGTAGACTTAATTACGAGTGCAAGTGTGCCACCAATGTGCGGGCTCTATAATTATAATGCTAATCCTATATGTGAACCAGGGAGTCTCATGAGACACGAGATGAGACGAGTATAGTAATAGCATTCATTACCAGCAAGCATTACTCATAAATGCGAGTTCAAAACCTAAATAAAATATGAGCCGTCCCTAAAATCCATTTTCAAAAATAGCCGGCCGATGTCTGTATGAGAGCAAGGAATACCGCGCACGAATTTGTGGGCAATATGGATATCTCGTGAAAAGAAATCGTGTATATAATCCTCTAGAAATAACCGTGGAACCAAGTATTTTTAGAAGAGACCAGAGAAAAAGAGATGTAATCTTATACATAGGCGACTGCCGTGCCAAACCATATAGGGCGGCGGGATGCGCCTGCGAACCTGTGGAGACGCACAGATGTCGGCGCAAAACATGAGGCGTCGCTCGTACCAGATAGATGGATAGTACTGAGACCAGAGCGTCGCGACGTCCAAATAGGCACGCACGCGCCCCACCTCACCACTTCACCACTTCACCTACCCTCGTCGCTCGCCAGATTGACCACATTCAACACTGTTTACATTAATAGTATGTTAACGGCTCAGAAACCTACATTTACGAATCAGAAGCCACAAACTATTTCTTGCACAAATACAACGCAGCGTTCCCGAATTACATAGATAGTCCCAACGGCGACCTACCTACCAAATTTCGCTTTCAAAAACTCCCAAACATTATTACACGCACGATTTTAACTTACTTCGTTTACCTGGAAACCTTCATCAATCTTTACGACTATTTACTAATACACCTTCCTCAAATATCATTCGCCAAACCTAGAATCCCAATGGCCTATAATCTGAGACCAACAATAGATACCTCGGATCTAATACAAACTACAAGCAATAATAATTCATATGCATATCCAACCTCCAAACAACCAAATATATATATAATAATAATTCATTAAGATTAATATTAAATAAAGACAAAATAACTAATAATAAATTCCCAAAATGTATCTTAAAATAAACAAATTGATCGGTAATGAATCATCGTGTAATGCAGCGGAGAAAACGCATCGGAAACTTTCTATCGGTTTGTATCCCATGTATTTATACTTGAAAGATTTCCCCTGAATGCATACTATAAATAACCCAAAGAAATAATCAAAGTTAACGGTGATTTCATTGTTCTGGATGGAGCGCGCAAGAGGTCTGTAAACGACAAAACTCTGCAACATTACGCAACCGTGTAGCATATTTGTATGTATCATTCAATCCATTGAAACCTATTTATAATCGGGACGAGTTGGAAGTGTTGGAAGAAGAAAAGAAAATAACAGGAAACAAGAGGCAAATTAGAAACTATTTAAGTTGATTGTACGCATATACAAGACGAGGATTGTCTCTTTTACTTCCCACCAACCGAGTTATTCGCAGCCGAACCGGGTTCGGACTCAAACTCTTTATATATTTAGATCCCGTTCCGTTCAGTATTTTAAAATAAATATTAGTTGAAAATACATACGGCCCAATAGTGATTTGGCAAAATAATGAGAGAACCGCGTTTGCGAGAGCGAAATGTATACAGTATACAGGCAACGGAGGTGGAGGAGGAGCATGAGTTGTTGGAATCGTTCAAAAATAACTTTATTAAATTATGCATCAAATATTCGGAACTATTTTGAAAGCCGGGCGGGGAAAAATGATGTAATGAAACGATATTACACATTTTCGTGGATTCTATAGGTCATAGGAACGAATGGATGGATGCCAATCCGATACGTTTTGCTGTCTATTTCATCTGATCTAAATCAGATATTCATATTCGTCTCTTCGAATAGAAATGAAGCAAAGAAGCAGAACAGAAATGAAACAGATAAGCACGCATAATATTTAGTCTGTTGCGTTCAATATGTTTCATAAATGCATGAGTAACGATTGTTTTGGATTATTTGCTACTATAAATACTTTATAAACATTTTGCCATGTTCCAAAATACATTCGTCATTACGCCATAATGAGCCCGCAAATAATTGATGCCTCATGTATTGATCACGAATGCTTTCCAGGCAAATCATCCTAAATTCTAGACGATTGCTCCTATTTGATTCCGAATCTGATACACAGCGCCCTGAGGCACAAGCAGAGAAATCATGCGATTATTTACAAATGCTAAGGTGCCACTGCCAAAGTCTTTTGCAAACTGCTAACATAGTGGCCAGTTTATATATAGCCTTTGTGCTAATTTAAGTACCAACATCGACCTACTGAAATAACTTATCTGACGCCCCCTTAAACTTTATCACCTACATACAAATACTCGCTCACGTATTTCGAATCATATACTCTTCACCTAAGCCTGATCATTCAATTTTTACCAATATCATACTATTATAAATGTACTCTTTATGCTTACAATTAATTCAAGTTTACTGTAACTTTATGATTATAATTAAAAATAAAATGTTGCTAATGCAAATGTACTTTTATTAGGAAACCAATAAAATTTGCTGAAACAAAATACAATTATGTTTAATTAATAAACACATTTATTACACGGTTCTAGTAATATCCTCATTTCAAATATTCCTGTTATATATTTTTTTTATCCAATAACTGTTTAAAGTATCTCTGCCAAAAATGTGATACCGTATGGCCACCTATGTATACAGTCTAAATGAGTTTATTTTGCATTCTGTCTCTCTCTCTTTCCTTCTCTCACGCTAACAATTTCGCATGATTTCATCGTTACAAATTATGAACGCGCTTTTCGCTTTTCATGATATAAATCTACAAAATGGAGCACCGAGCGATTATGTAAGCTGTTATTTGGTGGAAAATCAGTTGTTGTGGCGAGTTCGCGCCTCTATTTATAACGCTCTGAAAATTCCTAATTTCCATGCAACAAATTCAATTCCCAAACAAATTTTAAATACGCCTGACACATCATGCGGTTAAAAATAGTATGGCAAAGTTGCTAATATTCCGAGTCCGACATATAACATCCACGTATACATTGTAACGAAATACCAATATATTTGTTAAAGATCTAATTTTAAAACGTCATCAAATCACGAACTATAACTATCGCAGCAAAGAAGCAATATAATCAATGCCTCAATGAGAACAGATATTAATAATGTATTTCAACGATATAGATACAAAACAATAGGTTTTGTTCAGCAACAATGCTTTTGATGAAATTTAAATAATAATCGCAATAGTTTAAAGTTTCAACTACATCGATAACCGGTTTATAACCAGATTCGTTATGGACTATTTTTTATCAAATAGTAAAATACAAACAATACGAAGTGTCACCATACTTTAAGTTGTTTCTTACTAATGGAATAGGATAAGTGCTATATCATGATATGGAATAGTGTATTGAGGATAAGTGTGTTGGGTTGCCATAGAAACCAAGCAGGAAAATAATTTATAATTATGTCGTTATTTTTGTCTTACATTGATGTCGTACAAGGAACCCTTAAATATTATCTAATTTTGGTAGTAATACGAAAGTTCTCAACTCCTTAAAAATAACATCTATAAGATATTGAAAGATATTTCATCAGATTTATAATCTGGAGAAAAAAAAAACAGATAAATGCAAGTCTAAAATACATGTCACAATGTTCAACATTGCTTCCATCAATATGTAACGTCGAACGTCCATGTATAAATATCTTTAATAATATAATTTTAACATGTTTAAATATCTAACATTACGCTAAATAGCATGAAGAAAACGCTTAAACTTAAAAGGAAAATTATTAAAAAATTCAGTCCCTGTTCTCGCCGTTCGGCCTCGGGCCCTGCCCGTTGTCATCAGATGACATGCTGTTGCTTATATCTTCCAAAACATGTGGATTTCCCATCTGCTCAGCAATATGCTGTCCAACCTCAACGAAAGACTCCAAAGTTGTTCCCCCTGGTCCAGGATTCATGATCCCAGTAACCCTATAAGATTCAAATAGGAATTAGCGTCATCCAATTGGATCCAATAGGAATACGTACATATTACGAAATGTTGGATCATTTAACATCTGACTTGCCATGTTCAGTAAAGCGGGATTGTTCATGAATCCGCCGAAATCAAATTCAGCTGGCAAAGATGGATGAGCAGCAGATTGAGGAATCTTTTCCTCAGCCAACTTCAAGTTGGCTTCATATGATGCATTGGTTGGGTCAAGCTGCAAAGCACTTCTATAGGCTTCAGCAGCTTGTTGATACATATTCAAATTCGAATATGCAATCCTATAAAGCAATACCATCATGACATCTTAATTAAAAGTTTAGATGATAACAACTAATACCCCAATCGACCATAGGCTTTTCCATATGAAGGATCCAATCTGATAGCATCTTTGCAATCTAATAGAGCCTCACGATGACGGTTCAATCTACTATAAGCTGCTGCGCGATTGCAGTAGTAGATAGCTTTGTTGTTATTAGCCTTGATGGCCCTAAAAAGAATTACATATGTTAACATGGCATTTGAAACAAATGATTCCATTCTAACTTGGAATAATAATCCACTGCAGCAAGGAAGTCACCCTCGCGCATAAATTCGTTTCCACGAAGCTTGAAAGCCTCTCCCTCTGCTTCAAGTTTTAATACTTCTTCCTCAGGAACTGGAAGGTTCAACTTATGAAAGATAGTGAGCAAGTTTGGAGTGTCTACAGGTGAATCATCCTCTAACTCATAGCAGGCTTCAAGGCATTGCTTTGCCACCCCAAGTGATTCCTTCTGCTCAGAATCTAAAGTCTCACCCTCCAGCTCCTCATTAAGCAATTGCAGGGTACTCCTCAGGCATTCGCGCAGTACTTCAGCGCGACGTGAAGGAGACAATTGCACCTTATCTAAAAGAATAATTAGAATGTGTTTTAGGTTATGTCAAAAATCCTATAGTAATCTTTTTAACCCTCCATTGGTTGACAATTGTGGATTGAATAAACCAATGACCATAGCCTACCTGTGTATTCAGCCATAGCTCAGCAGTTGTTGATTGGTACACAGGGAGTATTAGAAGTAAAACTGTTCTTATTACTGCTGATGACAAATAAAATTAAAATGCACCAAGCGCGATTGCCAATAGGAAAGCGGCAACACTGTGGAACACAATGCAATCAAGCAGGTAGTCGAAGTTGCACGTAAAGCTAAGCTCTTACCCTCAGACCAGCTGAAGACGAATGTGCTTTTATCCAGCTGGAGGAAGGGTACAATTCGGGCAATCAATACTTTACGAAATATCATTCGTACTAATTCGCAAAGGTCCGCCACCCTTTAAATTAAAGTGATATACTGTTACCATAAAAGACAAGAGATGTCACTAGTTGCAACCATAGTCATAGGCTGTGTTTCTTACATATATTTAAATTAAATTTAATACATAACTGTCTAGCTTTCTAGATAACATTCATATCAAAAGAAATATATTAAAATAACTATTAAAAACAGAAAATGATGCAATCAGTAACCACTTTTTCATTTGTTTTTTATAGCAACTTTGCTCGAGCTTTATTAGAAAAGTTATATAGTTTGCAAAAATCATGCATATATTATTCTGCTGTTTAAATCAGTGGTCAAAGCGTCAGTTAGTCTGCTGTACGTTTAATTTGATTTCGTCCTTTGCAATGTCATATTAATATTACTGCACTTACAATTGTGTGCTCTGATAATGGTACTTGTTCAAAGGTTCAAATACTGCCAATGACAGATGGTCTTATATAAGTTAACCCTCCTTTAGAAGTTCTTTCATCTCTGAACAGATTGTTTAAATATGTTAAAAATCCTGGTTAATAAACTATACTTTATTGTTTAACAAAACTATGACTATTTGAAATGCATTGTAATTGTTTCTATGTAATTTTTTTATTTGGGAAAAGTGATTAGTCATCATTTAAATTTGTATGCACATTTTGGTTAGTTCCATAGGCGCAATAGTAAATAACAACAATTAACTGCATTCCAATCAATAATAATATAGGCCAAAAATGACGTTTCCGTTATATATATTATTAAAAGGGCGGAGACCTATTTCGGTAATTTTAATATGGTTTCATATAATTAGGAATTCTTTGGATAAATCAACCAAAATTGAAAGAAATATTTATAGTATATTATTTAAAGTTGCCAAAAACGTAGCATATATATATATATATTAATAATATCACAAAAATATTTTTAAACAGATAACAGAAACATATATTTTACTTTTCTTTTAAAACTCTTGCGAGGAAGATCAACTGCGGCTTGATAGATTTCAAGAACTTCTTAACGTCGTTGTGGATGCGCCTGCTTACTAAGCAGTCCTCAACAATGATCCTCTTAAGTCTAGTAATCTTCTCCTCCTCATTCATTGTTGTCTTCACGCGGCTTAGCTTTTTCTATAATTAAAAATACTTGTTATTTATTGGATATTTGGTATTATTAGCAACTCACTTTGTATGTGAAGTGTACCTCCTTCTTCATGTACATAATGAACTTTTCATATTGTTCGGGATCGCCCTTTGTGTAAAAACACCGCAAAATATAATATAAATGTTTAATTTGGGTCGGGCAGATTTTACAGATCATTTTAGCCGCCGTCTCCATTTTTAGTGAGTAGCCAACAATTACATTCATGCTATTAAATACTGAATTATTTAATATGAGCTGCAGATCTAGCTTGTCTCTCATTATAGTAAATTCTTCGCACGGTGATTCGACTGCAAAACACAATTACTTTGTAATTATTAATGCAACTTTAAGTAGTAACCAACTATGCAACCTGTTATATATTGTGCATTTATTACTGCGTTAAAATATTTGTAGACAGTTCCTAGAAGTCTGGTGCCTAAACCTCTCATCTGAAAGTTTGGCAATATGAATAACTGAGCAATCCGTACTTTTCCGGATGCAATAAAATTATAAACGGTGCAAAATCCAATAGGGAAGTGGCCAACTCTTTTATCACCAAGTTTCACATCTTTGTAAACGTAGAAGTAATACCAATTCCTATCGGTCACATCAATAATCGACGCAGCATCAATGAAGAATACTATCAGTCCTTGGAAACGCTTATGAAACTCTAAGAAGTCTAAATCTTTTCGATCACAGACTGTAATATGAAACTTTGACTTCTCTGTTTCGTCTAAAATTTAAGTATTTTAAAATAACATTCTAACATTGTCTAAAATTGAACAAACACACCTTTAAAGGACACAATGTTGTGCCCAAACATTTTGGTGTAGTCTTCTTTGGCTTTCAAATCCTCATATGCCTCATAACTGTCAGTCTTATGTGGAAACCACTCCATGAATTTCTCACCAATATTATCGGCAATTTCACCTCTCCTTGAATTATTGAGCATTTCATCATAAATCAGATTAAGTCTGACATGGAAGCTGTTTGGTAATATATTTAAAGTGATTTGTAGATTTCTGTATCCAGTTATTATCTCACTAAAACATTAATAGTAAAAAGTAGTGAAGACATGTGAGCTTCTTTAATAATAATTCCACATACTTGCAACCAAAAATCTGGTGGGCCATTTTTGGCCTAAACATTTTTGTGAATTGAGAGAATCGTTGGTCATCCGGCATATCTAAAATAAGTAATCATATTAGAATGCGACTCTCTTTGATAGCAAAAAAAATTTAATCAAATAAAAACAATGCCTTTTATAAATATAAACAATATTGACTCATTACCTACATTGTTTAGATACTGACAATCACTGATATTTGAACCATGTAAGAAATATAATGCTTTCTATGAACGCAAACAAGACCAGTTTATATTTCATCGGATTACTCACCCATTTGAAAGATAATACTATCAAGTGCTTTAACGGTGAAGGGGTTCATCATCAGTTCTGCTAAATGTCTGTTGCTGTCTTCAACAAACAAATCATCTGCATCAGAGTCTGCACTATAACCAGCACTAGTACCAGCCACAGAATTCAAGTAGCTATCATCCAATGCAGCAACAGAGTATGAACTATCAGTGGGTTTTTTCTTAGCCAAAGGTTCAGATAAAAAATCATACAGACCAACTGTACTATCTCCATCACTTTGTGTACAATGAAATAAATCATTTACACGAGCTGACATTTTAAACTATAGGAAATATACTCTAATGAAAAACAGACTATACTGAATGGCCTATGTACATGCTCTTCAAACGCGGTGTGGTGTGAGCCAGTGAGCAGTTATTGGCAGTTATACATTTGTCTTACGTGAACACAGCGCCATATCGCCACCAACTAATAATTCTGTATGCAACTGCAAGATGGCACTCAAAGTTGCTTTGCTTTTTGAATAAAAAGTAGACTTGTGAATTGATTTTTGTAGACAAACTGTTACATTTACTACATATTAATCAATAAAATATAGGTACACCTAAATATAATGTGTAATTACTTTAAATTTTTAACGGTTTACCGAACATTAACCATATAATCTGGGTAATCCCCTGAACTTGTCGGTTTAGGCTGTTAGATAGTTGCGCCTCTCGAGTACCGGCTTCTAAGCTTAAAACAAAACAATGGTTCATAACCTTACTTATATACTAAATGTATTATAATTTAAATATTGAATAACTGTATGGCCTACTGCATTATATAATATTTCGTTCAATACACACAAATATATATATATACTCAGTTTTAAAAGTCTATACAAAATTATAGCTAGAAACTAGTTAATGAACATAACTACAACTTGAAAACAAGTGGGTAGCTTAAAATATACGAACATATTACATAATTAAATAAATATGAATGATGATATTACGACAATATTATTTTAATAATAGATCAATTATATGATTATGTATTGTAATTAAATATTAAGATGCTATTATTAATTTTAAATTTTGGCCGTTATTTACTAGTGGTGCCACACATATATATTACTTTGAACTACATTTTTTATTATAATTCTATCTTCAGTTGTAGTTATCTTGCATTTAATAGATTGGTAATCAGCGTTGCTATATCTTGTAATAAATAAATGTTTTATTAATAAAAAAATATGTCGCATGTCTGGCTAGACTGAAAAGTAATGAGTCCTATCAACAAGATAAATAATTCGAATTGGATTCGAGTTTATTTGATAAATATTAACCGCTAATACAGGATCATAAAGAGAGTAACAGAGAGGAGCAGGTCATTAGACTGATTAGTGAATGATAGCAATACACGAAGAATTATAAATACGTTGTTATATTTTACTTATCAGATACAAAAAGAAAAGAAAATATTGTTTCTTTAGTTAGAACGGAACAAAACTAGGGATTAAACTCGGGATTCTTCCTGAGGATTACGAAGCCCTCCATGATGGGCGTGAGGCTGTTGTACTCTTCGGTAGCTAGTTCAGCCCTTTCTCCGAATGCCAACAATACGGGCGTGGTATGCGTCTGAAACCCGGTGATGGTTTTAGGTTTTCCAGCCTGTCCTACTACATCGACGGCCTGAAAACGAAAAGATCAGTATTAGCAAATACGTTTAAGTTATTTAATTTTTATGAACCTACCAAACCAACTCTCACAGGTACAGCGAGTGGGTTCAACTCCTCGTCAAATGTGACCAACATACGGGGTTGCATCGCTGCAGCCAACGTGTACAATAAATAATGGGACCTGCCCAAAATGATGTTCTTCACGTCCAGAAATCCAACAAGCGTAGCCATCAAACCGGCGACGGCAACTGGGCTAAGCAACTGCCTGTCACTGTGGTAAGGGCTCAAAGAAAGTGTTCCTTTGCCTAAATGAGTCAAGCCCTGTGCAATTCTGACCATGAATAAGTTGTTCGGATCCTTAGCATGGAACTGAGCCAATTGCCTGAGCATAGCAGCTAACCTGGCGTTGTTCGTTCCTGCACCGACAAGTCCCATTGCGAAGATGGCATTATGTGCAACCTCAGAGTCACTGTCGTGAGAGAATTTACTTAACGTATCAAGAATTCCCAGCTTCGGGTTGGAAACTGATATTAATCCTAAAGCTAAGGGTACGGCGCGACGGATCACGGGTTCGCAATATCTTAACAGATGTCCGAATGTGCGGAAAGCCATCTCGCCGCCAATATCTTCTCCCATTGAAATCAAAGCAATACCCAATACAGCGATGGCCTGTTTGGATGACAGGTCCTTGTAGTTCTCATCTTTATCCTTATTCTTATCTTTTCCTTTGTCATCCTTCTCTGGTTCGTAATGTTCTGAGCATATATGAAGGAGCTGCTGTATTTTAAGTACATTGCCAGTTCCAGCATATGCGCAAACTTCTACCATAGTAATAGCCATTGATTTGAAAGGTTCTGGAATAACTTCTAACGTGGCTACTACAGCCTCAACCTCTTCTTGCCTACCAAGATAGCAAAGACCCAAACCCAATGGTAAGAACCTCGCATACGTGTCCTTTAAATCGGACTCGGGACGTTCTAAAAGTGTTTGAATGATGGTACTAGTAACTTCAGGATTACCAGAACCAACGGCGATCATGCCACAAGCTAGACCAGCCATACCAACTACTTCCATATTAGATTTGGCATCAGTAAAAACTGGAGTAAGCAGGCTTAACACGGCCTCTCTATTGGATCCAACGTAAGCTAAGCCTAATCCAACGATTGCTCCCAAACGCATAATGTTCGTGTTGTGCAATACGTAATCAGACAATAAGGCTAAAGCTGGATCGCATTCATTCCGAACGCCGCAATTAACAATTCCACATGCTAAGAGTGCACCCGATTTAATATGATCTTCAGATGAATAAAGATATTTATCAATAGGAGTTAGACCACCATCTACATCCCAAAGCAAAACCAATCCTAGAGAAGCAGTAGCACTCAGCATTCCGTGTTCCTTGTTTTTGAACAACCACTTATTTCCATCTTCCATCAACAGTTTATCTTGACCAAAGGCTGCATTTACAAAACCGTTCACGAAACTGGCAGCTAAATTTTGTCTCGCAGAATCCACTTGACCTCCACCAAACTGCGGTCTAGTATTTTCCAAATGTGATTTGTACACATCCTCTGGAGTTTTCGGTTCCATGATGTCTAACTCTCTGGCCAAGTTAAGGAAATGATTGTTCAGATGACAGTTAGCCATGATTTCAATTAAATCGTCATATTCCGGGGTACTTTCATTAATATCGATGAAAATTTGCTGGCGACCCAGCATAAACGCCAATTGCTTTTGCATAGTACTGAAAAGTATTACATGTATTTCATAAGCAAATATATATATTGATTAAAGTATACTTACGTGTCTGAGCAAGATGTGAAGATCTCTTCAATCAATTGATGATCATTTAGCTGCATAGCTAAACGAAGCGCTTGTGGGTATTGTTCGAACTTTCTGAATAACATCAAAGCAGTTTTAAGCAATGTCGTGTTCTCAGGATCGGCTACATAAGGAACACAGCTTGTCAAGTACAAGCAAACTCTGTTGTAAATATTTTCATCAACAAATTGTTGCAATAAATCTAATCTTTCAATTTCCATGAGCAGATCACATGCTTCTGCCTCAGCATTGTGGCTCATATTATATGGAACAATCTGTTTAGCCAAGCGGATGAGTTTATCCTTCAAATCGGCTTCATTCTCTGTATCACCATTTATGTCTCCCCATTCCTGAGCAATCTCACCAGCCAAATGCCTGACATATTCATGGCCCCACTCACCTATGCTATTCAAATTGGAAAGGAGTCTGTACTTTAAGCACTCCCTGACACCCTCTCCCATGGTCATTGCTAGCACAGATATGACATCAGCAGCTTCTATTTTTATGGTGTCATTGGTGAGCTTATCATAGATTTGCTTCATGGTGCCATAGTGAGGTCTCATGAACTTCAGTGGCTTTGGCACTGAAGTCATTGATGTGGTGGAGGCTCTAATTTGGTTGCCAAGAGTTTTAAGAGCTGGGACATACTGAAGTTCATCATTTTCCTAAAATAAAAAAACAATTAATTTTAACAATATGTAAACGTAATTTATAGATGAATACTTACTTGCAATCTTTCAACACATAAGTTGAGCTCCTCCTGTAGCAATTTATCTTCTTCGGACTAAAAATATCATATATCATTGTTTGTTACTTTAACATTATTTTGGGATTGAAGTTAATGGTTATATGATTGGAGAGGAAAGATTATTTTATAGTTTAATAAGACAATAAAGTATTTACCAGATCTGCTTTTTCATCTTCTACCACTGTGTCAGTTTTAATTGCGGCTTTGTCTCCGTCTCCCATTTTCGGCTTCTTTATGATAAACTGGTAGCTGCAACGGAAAATGCACTTTCTTATTAGACTCTTATTGGAATTATGATCAAAGGCTAAGAGATTTTATTATTTATATGCATACACAAAACTGGATAACTCACTCAGGATGATTTGATAGTTCTGCGGCACTCTACCAACTTAACGGCTAGAATAAACATGGAAAAGCATCGTCATGTTGTCAAAACCGATCGAAGCAGGGCTGACAGTAAAAAAAAGATAAATAGAAATGGCACTGCGATGACTGCGATAGCGGCAAATTTGAATGTACACATTGGCTCATTCATAAGCAAATCGCGCTATATTGATTTTTCCATTCGTATTTGTTGAATAAAATACCTTAACATTGAAATTGCATCGCGCGCATCAAGTCCCACGCGTTTTGTATACGAGCGAAGTTGGCTTCAAGGGCATTCACCAGGCATTCACGTCGTCTACTTCAAGTAGTACTTATGTATCGATAAATGTAGGAGAAAAAAATACGCGAGCGACGGGCATTCGGGGAGGCAAAAAGGAGAGCTGGGAAGGATTACAGTGCTGTTGTTGATGTTTATGCGCGAGAATGCCTGGGGTTTTCGAAAACACGTAGATGGTCGTCCTCAGATGCATGGAACGATGCACCAAACAGCAAGGTTTTTACAAAAACATTGGCTTTAATGGAGTGAGTTGCTTTATTTATTTACGAAACGCTTGCACGAAAACCACAACACGGCACTGTTTGGTTGTGCGGCCTGTGAAAACTAAATCGCTGCCTGAATCATTCATTGCAATTGATTGTTGCCTCATACATTATGCACATCTCCTGTGCACTACAACAAAAACTGTTGGTCAATTCTGATTGAACATAATTGATGCTTTCCTTTCCACAGACCAGGGAGGGCTTCATGCCTCCAGATCCACTGATATGGTCACCATGAATTCAGATAAGGTTTCTGCGAAGCGCAAGCCAGAGATCATTGGGTGCGCTGGGGGGAGCAAGGATGACCCACCATTTTTACCACTATCAACCAGCAATAGCAGCGAAGAATCACCCAATCATTTATTATACAAAAAGGTAAATTTCAACTGCTAGTAGGGTATCACAGTAATTGCCATTAAATTCTCGTAATTTCAGATGGAAAAAATAGTTGAGAAAATGCAAGACGAAACAATTGGGGTCCCTGTGAGGACTGTGAAGAGCTTCATGACGAAGATACCTTCAGTCTTCACAGGGTCTGATTTAATAATGTGGATGATTAAGAATTTGGACGTCGAAGATCAGGCGGAGGCTCTACATTTGGCTCATCTGATGGCTGCCCATGGCTATTTCTTTCCTATAGACGATCATATGCTCACGGTCAAAAACGACGGCACTTTTTACAGATTCCAAACGCCGTATTTTTGGCCATCCAACTGCTGGGAACCTGAGAACACAGACTACGGTATTACGAAATTTCAAATGGATTTACCGCAACTCGATAATATCGCAATATCATTTCAGCTGTATATTTATGTAAGAGGACGATGCAGAACAAGACACGATTGGAGTTGGCCGATTACGAGGCGGAGAACCTGGCTAGGCTGCAGAAGATGTTCTCCAGAAAATGGGAGTTCATATTCATGCAAGCCGAGGCGCAAAGTAAGGTGGACAAGAAACGGGATAAGCTGGAGAGGAAGGTGCTGGATAGTCAGGAGAGGGCGTTCTGGGATGTGCACAGGCCGATGCCGGGTTGCGTAAATACGACTGAAATTGATATTAAGAAGGCTTGCCAGATAAACAAACCTATTCACGGAGTGAAGCTTGTGCCTAAGCTGTCTCCGTCCTCCACCGAACTGGGGATTAAGCTTGTCGAAAACCTGAAGAAGCAAGTTGGTCTGATGAGAATCCGGCTCGACCGCCGCAACATAAAAGTCTCCAAAGTCGCCGAGGCGTGTATAGCGTATTTCGAGCAATACCTGGAGTACGACAGTTTCTTCGTGGCTCCGGAGTTCGCAAATCCCTGGATTTCGGATAATCCCGAGTTATGGGAACAGGAAAAACTGGCTAAAGACATATCAGCGCGGCGCGTAAAGAGATGGGCGTTTGGCTTGCAAGAGCTGTTGCAGGATCCCATTGGCCGCGAACATTTCATCAAGTTTTTAGACAAGGAGTTCAGCGGCGAAAATCTGAAGTTCGACAACTGATTCAATTAGAACGGAATTGTCTTATATTAATATGGATTTCTTTTAGATTCTGGGAAGCGGTCCAGAAACTGAAAGCACTGCCGCAGAGTGCTGTTCAGGATAAGGTGCAGGAAATATGGGCGGAGTTTATGGCGAGCGATGCTAGTTGTCCCATTAATGTTGATTCTAGGTCGTGTGAGGTCACTAAGAAAAACATGGAGAATCCCGACCGCTGGACATTCGATTATGCAGCCGTAAAATCCATCTAAACCTTAACCCCGTAGCCGACTTACTAATCTCTCTGCTTGGTTTCAGGCTCATGTCTATCAATTAATGAAAAGTGATAGCTATTCTCGATATTTGCGATCTGAAATGTACAAAGAATTCTTAAACGGGTCAAAGAAAAAGGTGAGCGTTAGCAAATTCCTTTCGAAACTCATTTAAATCATGGGTTCATAGTCGTTAGCAAATAATAATAGTTCTAGAAACCTATGGGCCTATGCACGAATTATTATAATTTCTGAACCTTAGCAAAAGAAATACAAAAAAAAAAACAATACTGACGAAGAGGATTGGCAGAGACGGCACTTAACTAGCTTTTAATTTGTTGCTGTTTAGTTAGATGATGCTTAGTAACTTTTTGGTAAAAGCTTTGTTCACTAGAATCTGTGATACATTCAAAAAGTCCCAAATTAATCTGTTACTAATGTGTTGATTTTTAGACATCTGTTAAGGGAATTCGTTCAATAGTCTCGTTCTCTGCACGAAAAGAAACTATCACCTAGTCAAGTAAGCCGTGAGATTGATTCGTTCACTACTGGACAAAATTGTTGATATTCACGTTAACAGAAAATAAATAACCAACAAAAACAAACTTATTATAATAATCGTACGAAATGCTTCTTCTGATACAACAAACAAAAACAAAAGAAAGCAATCTAGTGCAAGACCTTTAGGCATTAAAACCGAATTTCTCTTTCATTTTATACTTAAATCATTCATTATTTAAATTGACCGTTTTGGCTCTTAAATGGTTGTGAAACGAGGAAAAGCATGGCAATACATTGTCGATAAGCACAGTTCACAAAAGAACAAAAAAAAAACCTAAAATCAACCTGCAAGTGCTTTTTACACGTATACAAATTCCGTATTTTGGAATTTTTAAATACAATCTTAAATGAAAATTTAACAAAAC